AAATAAAATTTAAAAATTTTACAATAATTTGAAAAAAATGAAAAATTCTACAAGTAGTCAAATTCATGAATCATCATTCATGACTTTCATCATCTACTTTGGGTGAAATGTCCGGTGTTGTATCATGCCCTCCCTTGTCTTCTAATCTATCTGCTACATCTAGCCAATCCTTGAAGCAGATGCACATCTCTATGCTCTCATCGTTCATGCATCTTCTTTTGTCATCCAGCACCCTGGTACCTGCACTAAAACAAGACTCCGGTGGAATTGTAGACATTGGAGGGGTTAGTAGATCACGTGTCATGGCGGCGAGAACCGGATAATTTTTCGAGTGTTCACTCCACTAGGCTAAAATATCAAAATTCTTTGATGGTTCACCTAAATTAGAAAATTTTTCTTGCAAATAAAAATTAAATTCAGTAAATGAACTTGTTGTAGAACTAGCAAATTTCTGCTTTCTACTTATTAAATAAAAATGTTTTTTTCTTCTACTATTGGGCTCAAAGTCAAAAGGAGAAGAAGAAGATGATGAACAAGTTGTAGGATTTCCTACAACTTTAGATTCATACAAATTGTACATTTCAAATAATAAATTATTAATTTCTTCTTTTTATTTCCTATATCAATATTCATATTTTCATAATATGTTTCAAGTAAAATATCTAAACCATCTTTCCTAATCCTAGGGTTTAATATTGTAGCTAAACAATAAAGGGAAGAAATGTTCTCCCAATATTTTTTTAAATTTATTTTTCATATTTTCAACAATACATTGAAATTGTGGATTATTTCTATATTTGGCAAAACAATCACTAATTACCATTAATTGATACGGTAAATTACAAGTAGTTGGATAATAAATTCCAGATAATTCATTTGTTGCATCAAAAAAATATTTTAAAAAATCTCTTATACAGATTGCCATTTCCCAATCTTCCTCAAATATCATATTATTAGGCATTTTTAAATTATAAAAATCAGAAAGAATTTGTTTATGAGATATACAACTTTCTAACATAGCATAGGTAGAATTCCACCTATGCTTTACATATAATATAAAATGTTTATATTTTAAACCATAATTTTGGTATAAATATTAAAATTTTTGTTTTCTTGCCCCTGAACTTTTTATATATATAATACAATTTCTAATTTTTGAAATATGATTTGAAATAATATTCACGACATCTTGAATACATAAATTTAAGATGTGACATACACATCTAATATGAAATAATTTACCATTTAAGCATGGTTTTAATTGAGATTTTAAAATATTTATTGCAGAATCATTATTGATAGCATTATCAAAATTAATAGAAAACAATATGTTTTCTATTCCATAAGCATGCAAAGTATTTAAAATACTTGCAGCAATAGCTGGGCCACTATGTACCCTTTCAAGCCTAATAAACCTTAAAATTCCTTTATTCAAAAGCCAATTTTCATCAATGAAATGGTTGGTAATGCAAATATAACTAATATTAAATTTGAATGTCCAAACATCCGAAATAATTGCAACTTTAAATTAAGATTTGCTAACAAAGAAATTAAATTTTGTTTATATGAATAAAAAATTTTTAAAGCATCAATTCTTATAGTATTCCTAGAAATTTTTTTATATTGTGGGTTTACAGAACTACACAACCATTTTTCTAGCTTTGGATCTTCACCTAACATAAATGATTGTTCTACATATACAATATACTTAACAAGTTCTTGTCTCATTTTTTCTTGTGAATATCTAAGAGTACCAAAACTAGTCCCCCTCCCAATCTGTGTTTGGGTTGTTTCTCTCCCTTCATCTTCCTCTCGCTCATGTGTGAGCAGATGTTTGCTCAAATGGCCCGTACCACCCTTGCTACAACAACTAAAGTATTTCCTACATTTTTGGCAAACGGCCCATTTCCCCTTCCCCTCAATATCCTATACTTTGAAAACTTTCCAAATCGGGCTACTTAGCTTAGAAGCCCTCCTTTTTCACCTAGTATCACTACTACCGGGGGTGAAAGTTCCACTTCCATCGACATCAAACGCATCGGCATCAATGTTAACACTAATACCATCGTGATGCGATTGAATTGGTGAACATGTTAGGGAATCGGTTTTGAGAAGGGCCGGCCATTTTTTTTAATTCTAAAAAGATAAAAATTAATCTAACTCGACTTACCCGGATTGCCGGTTCAAAATCCCAACTTGATTTCAATATCCAATCCCCCTGAATTGAGATACTTGAGCTGGTTGAACAAGCATTCTTCTTGTTGAAAGTTGAAACTTCGATAAAGTTGAGACTTGATAATTAGAGAATGCAGAATCAAACAATCAACTAATTAGAATTTCTCAGATTGCAGATAATTGACAATGTATGAGTATGAGAGAGAGAGAGAATTAAGAGAATTGTTGAATTGGTGTGATGAGAATGGTGGATGATAGGGTTATTTATAGGAATTGGACATAATTCAATTGCCCAAAATACCCAAAAAGTTATCTGTTATTTAGTTGTTGGGAGGGGTATTTTGGTCATTATAAAGTTATTTATAACTTTACCCAAAGTGCCCCCCTAAACTAGTTGTTATATAGCTATTGGGGGGCATTTATGTCATTTTTCAATCCCCCATAAGCAAAATTTAGAAATACCCCCCTAATATGGTTGTTTATAGCTATTTGGGGGGTATTTCTGTAAACCCCCCTCCAAAAGCTGAAACTAGCCGTTGGGCCCCTTTGGGAGGGGGCCCAATGGCTATATTCCCGGGCGGGCCAAACGTGGCCCATTACAGGCCTGGCGGGCCGTGTCGTGCTATGCCTTGGGCTGGGCCGTGCCAACACACGGGCCACAGGTGGCATGGCACGTGCTATTGTGCCATGTCGTGCCGGCCCATGGGCCTCGAACTCTCGGCCCAACACGGCATAGACCTCCGCTCCGGGCTTGGCACAACCCGTTAGCCGCCATGCCATGCTAGGCCAGGCCGGTCCAAAATCATGGTGGCCCGATTTACACCTCTAGTTTGGAGAAGATTTCAAATCAAACCAGTAAATTAGGATGTGAGAAATTTTAAGACCAAATAAATCCATTTTAGTATACAAACCAAAAAGGTATGAACTCTGACTTAACTTTGGATTGGCGGGTTAGGGTTGAGACCTTGACCAACTCAACCTAACTTAATATTTGCATGTATAAATATCATACAAATAAGTATTTATGTATGTATACTATGTAGTAATTATGTATATGTATATTTACTATTCATTCATGTATGTACGTATATGCAGCTATGAATCCATAAATGTACATATCTAACTATCTATGTATTTTTTCACTGTTAATACTTTTGTATTTCATGTATATACATAATTATATATAAATTTATACAAAAATACATGTATATTGTTCATAATAACCATGTTTTGTTTTACACGTAATAATGCTAATATGAACCCTTACGGTCTAGGAAATAAACACATTTGGAAATAGTAAGTAGAGAAGTTGTACCAACCTGAGACTGACCTAAACCCAATCTGAGCCCAACTTGAACCCAACCTGATCCTGACCTAACCCGGCCCGACTTGCACCCCTAGTGTCACTTATTATTGTCATGTAAATTACATTCAGAATTTATTAAATATGCATACACACATATATACATACATTGAATGAAGTTATGCATATATAGAATGTGGATGATATGTTTCTGGCTCCCAGCAGCTCCTCTTATATCCACCGCCATGAAGAGAAAGAAGAAAGAAAAATGTTCCACCTTCTATAAGACCTCTTCTATACGTTACATAATTGGTCTATCTTCTGCAAATTTGTATCTTTTCACCCTCAAAATGCATTTCAGGAATCAGCTTAAATCTGTGCCTTTGTGACCGACTTTTGGGCCTACAAATGGAATAACGTGGGGGCCGAGTCAAGAATATAGAAAGAAATTAAAATTGCACCACCTCAAAAGGACCAGAAAGGATCGCTTGGAACTCAGTTTATTCCAGGAAGAGTAAAGTTGATAAAACCGCCCATGTTCATACATCAAACATGCATGAAGAAGTCCATACTCCACAGTTGGAATTTAAACCAAAATGAGAATCTAGATCTATATACAACTAATTAAGTGAGCTCAAGTGCCGAACCTCTCAGTCTCAGATAGCTTGAAATTCATGGAAGAAACAAAAAAAAAAAGTTCAAGTGTGTGAACTGTCAAGTAATAAAGAAAGCAAAGAGACTAGATTAAAGAAAGAAGATAAAGATAACCAGTCAGCCCCACAAAATCTTATTTCACTAGTCACTATTCCACAATATTCTACATTCCTCAGGGCTCCCCCCAGAAGGAATTCTTCCTCTAGAGGTAACAATAAAATACTCCATTAATCCATTATCAACCCAACACATGACATTCTTCAAACTTTTTCTCGGTCTGCTATAAATATAAAACAAAGGCTAATATTTCTGGGTAGGCAGCTGGGCAGCACAGACGTCGACTCCCATGGCTGGTCCAGCGTCGAGGAGCAGCGCCCAGAAGGCCCCTTCAAGCCGGTCAGGACTACTCAGATGCATTGCCATCACCATACTTGTCCTGGTCGTCTTGACTGGCCTCGCTGTACTCATCATCTGGCTGGTAGTCAACCCCAGAAGATTTCAGTACACCATTGAAGATGGGTTGGTTCATGGCTTCGATCTGAACCACAACCATCTCAATGCTTCCTTCGACTTTGCCATCAGGGCCTACAATCCGAACAGTAAGGTCTCTCTGTACTATGACTCCATCGAGGTTTATGTGGCCTATGACGATCAGACCCTCGCCATGGATGTCGTCAAGCCATTCTTCCAACCTCATCGCAATGCCACCCGTCTCGAAGTGAAGCCCGTGGCTCGGTCAGTGCCTCTACTGGATTCTGTTTCCGAGGATCTCCGGCTTGAGAAAACGTCTGGAGATGTTGAGCTAGTGGTGCGTGTTAAGGCCAGAATTCGGTTCAAGGTTGGTGCCTGGAAGTCAACGAAGTGCACCATGAAGGCGACGTGCTCGCCCGTCGTGCTGCACTTGTCCTCGTCGAAGGTGTTCGACCGGACATACTGTGACGAAGATTTTTAAAGGGTGGTGATCTCCATGTTTCGAGCATTATTTTGAATTTGTTCCTTGAAGCAGCAGCGCCTTTTTCTATTTTTTTTTTCTCTCACTGTTTGGTTGGTTGAGCAAATGGGGTTTGATTTTATTTGGTTGTTTGTTCGATTTGTACGTAGGTCTCTAGCTTTTTGTGTTTTTGTTTTATCAACGTCTGTTAATATAGTTTTTAATTTGCTAGCTGGTTTCCAAAGCCTCCCACTCTCTAGCCTTGAACAAGCAGAGAGCATTTGGATTTGGACTCATTGTTTTCTTGTATTAACAGTACAAAAATTGATCTACTCTTTAATTTCAGACCATGTGGGATCCATGAAAAGACTATGAGTGTGGGAGTGGGGCGAAGAAATCTTGCATAACTTTGCCAGTGTGCAACAATCTTTTGTTGCCTAACACTCTAGCTAGATAGATAGATCCATTGATTTTTCCCTAATTGCAGGTGATTTTCATGGCAGAAGTGCAAATGCTCATATGGATGAGTGATAAAATAAAAAGTACAGGGTTAGAAATGAAGTTATGGAAAGGAATTAATCTCACATGCAAAGACCATCTACAGCATCTATTAAAAGATGTGATACCAAGGGTAGATTGACCTAAAAAAAGACTTGAGCAGAAATAATAAGAAATTATTTAAGTGCCTATAATATGGCAAAAGAGAATTCATGTAGTGGACCCCATATAGTTAAGACAAGGCTTTTGATAATGATGATGATGGTGGTGGTGGTGGTGATGACAATGATGATGATGATGCAAATAGTGATTTTCATCTAGGTAGATCTAGAATTTGGTCAACATTAGTGCCTAAGTACTTGTGAGTTGTGAGTGAGGAGGAGCTAACAGACATTTATAATGGGTTTAAAAGAAATTAATTCCAGCTTAAGAATAAAAGTTGGGTAATCAAAATCAGTACTCTTGGGCTGAAATAACTAAAATTTGGTGAAAATTAATTAATTAATTTATCTAAATATGTTTATAATGTAATAAATAGAAAAAAAAAGATTTCTAATTTTTCTAATTAGAATATTGTTTCTAATTATGATCCATGAAGGGATGAATGAAAAACAAAAAAAGCCTTTAGGCTGCCATTCATGCTGCCTTATGCTATATCCATATAAATGCAATTTTTCTCAGTCTATGGGGAGCCACAATGTTAGAGATGATACACTGAAATGTGGATAACTCTGCCTTATTACTGAGGAGCAGGAGGGACAGAATTTGGGTTACATGATCAAGAAGGGAAAGCAGCTGTATGGAAAGCAATCCAAGGAATTTTATTTCTTATCTAAAACTCTGAGAGATTTGGAAAATTTATTCTTGATAAATTATAAATTAGCATGCCTCTATATAACTCTGAACCATATATATATATATATATATATATATATATATATATATATATGTGTGTGTGTGTGTGTATTTCAGTTGTTTGTGAACAATACAAATATTAGATTCTAAATGCCAAATAGGTGAGGATTCAGATAACTTGGATTAAATTTTAGGTAGTTTTAACAACTTATTAAAGGAAAGAATAAAATAGTCTCAGAAAAGTTTAAGACTGGTGGACTGCTAACAGCAGAGGTAGAGAGTGTTGTAATCTGAAAGTATAGGGTAGCTCTCTGTCACAAATTAAAGTTTGAAGACCTAAATGTAATGATGTCTGAGAACCCGGAGGGAGAAATACCTTCAACTAGAGGAAGATTTCAGCTGGTGTGAGAAAATGAACCCTGCTTCAGTAGTTGGGAGGGCTTGGGTTCAATCTACAGGTGGCTCCCATTGAATCCATGCCCAATTGTTTGCTAGTTCAACTCTCTAGGCCTTGTTTATGGTCCATTTTAACAGCTGAAGTGACTGAACTGAATAGGTTATTGCTTTGTGGTTCTCATAAATTGTTTACCCTATTCATCCTTGGGACCATTGATCAGGGTAAAAACATTTTTGGTTTATAATTCTAAATGGAAATCTACAATTTATTAGGGTAATTTTATAGTTCTATAAAAATTAATACAACCACCACCTAGGCAAGTGCCTAAGGACCTCCTATCAAATATTTATAAAGGAGAAATTCTCTCCTGAAGTTTCTCATAAATGTTAAAACATGGGTTACCTTAATGACATTAGATGTTGACAGGATCTCCTAGAAGTAGAAACTTTACATACACCCTCCTCCTATCAAATAATAATCCTATGTCCATTAACGAAATCTTGTAAAAATAGAAATCAAACTTTGGATTACATGCCAACCTTTGATTGGGCCCAATATTTACAGGTCACATATTTAGTGGATGAGCTTCAATATGGGTGGTTTTTGTAGAGGTTTTGATGTGCCATAAAGCCATTAATTCAGATGACTTACCCACAAGTAGGCACTTTTGGTATTAGATTCACACTTCCAAAACCCTATAAGAGCATTCTTGATATTTCTCCCATTCTATTAAAGTTAGCAGCAAAATCATTTTACTTAGGGGAGGTTTTGATATTTATAACCTCTAAGAAGGTTTGACGATTTTTCTTTATTTAAAGCTAGGGTAAAAACACGTGATATGTATGTATGCGAGTAATATATATTAATATTTTATAATTAAAATTAACTTTTATAACATACACATAAACCAAGGCAAGTATCCACTTTATACATCATATAGATATAGATAGATTCATATTTATTAACAAACATCCCCTAAAAGACAAAACAACAAATCTATCAATTCAATCACTTTATATCTTATCAAACCACTTAGCCAATAGCTAGTGGTATTATTTTCAGTTAATAGGAGGAGCCTCACAAGCCTGGGGTAGCCTGTGCCCAAATTCCCATAGAACGCCACAATTCATCACATGATTTCCCCATTTGAAAGCTCGACACTTATCAACCAGTCAACAGCTACAGTAGTTTATTTTGCTTTCATAGCTTATTGTCATTTTGTCGTAGGTGTAGGCCTTCTCTTAGAAAGAACCCATTGGACCCTGGCCCCTGATCTTCTAGGTCCAGTGTCGGTGTGTCCCCAGACCTTGGTATTAGGACAGCTTCTGACCCCTCAATAAAATGGGTTTTTCGATTGATTGCAGGAGACTGAAGAACTGGAAAGAAAAACGTCCAAATTGGCTACAAATGGGACCGGCTTAAAACGGTCCACTTGGATCTAGATGATTTGACCATATGAACAATTTACGTCTGTGGTTGCAGATGATAGAGTGACATAGTTTGGCAATGAATTGTTTTTGGAGAATAAGGGTTCATTTAGTTTGCAGTTATAATTGAAATTGGAATCGAAATCCTTTGAAATTGGAATGGGAATAGCCTATTCCTATAATCTATTGAGTTCAGACAGAACTCAGAATTGCAATTAGAATCAATTAGGATGGGATTTGATTCCTAAAGGAGGGGAGAAGAAAATGGCCATTCTCGCAAATGGGGAAATGCCATTCTACTAAGTTGTTTATTCAGATAACACTTTCCCAAGTAAAGTTATTTTGTTGAGAAATATTAAATGGGAAGTGAGACAATTTTCCAAAAGAGTCCTAAACTTTTACATGCTACGAAGGGGATTTTAGTTTTACAATAGGAAAAGTTTATTTTTTGTGGGCCCTATATTTCCTTGTAAAATAAGGCAAGGCAAAGAAAAGATGGTCAGCTTCTACATTGAGTCATTGACCAAACCCCCTCCCTCTCAATTTACTGTCAAATGAACAGGGCCTCCTTGCAAGACAATGGCAACCAAACTTATCTATGTGCATGTCATTTTCTAATAGAGAGAGAGAGAGAAGAGTTGTTCCTTTTGCAAGAAATGGACATCACCATGAAAACAACGTTTTGGCATGGTCCCTTCCAACACTCCCTTTTCAACTTAGACATTATCTATAACATAGGATGCTAATTTCATGTCAACTAATTAATATCTCAGCATCCCGCCCACCCAATAATACCAAACCTAATCCCCAAGAGGCCAAGACTGTGTTTGGTTTCAAGGAAAGAGTAGAAAAAACACGGGAAAGGTAGGTGGTTCAACCATTTGATCTGAATAAATGTTTTAACATCTCAATACGTACTTTCAATGTTTTAAAAACTGACACAAATTTGGTTTTTGGTCAGTGGTTCAACCATTTGATCTGAATGATTGATTCATTAAAATTAAAAGTAAAAATAAAAAAAAAATAATAATTAAAACAAAAATGTCAAAAATTATTATTTGATTGAAACAGAGGTCGATGGTTCGCTTACCTGAATAAGTGGGTCATTGACTAAATCAACGGAAACAATTCAGGGGGTGAAACAATTCAAACAGGTCCATCCATCTGAATTAATTAACAACGGTTCAAAAACCATGTATTATTTTCCCAACTTCCAATACTTATATATTTGATATAAAAAATTCTAAATTACAAACACAACTTTTAAACAACACCACAATGCAAAACACAGCCGTAGGCATAACCTTTACTTACAAATAGAGGATGGCCCGGATCGGGTTCGGAATCCATTTTATTTGCTCGGATCATTTTGGATTCAAATCGAAAATGGCCTTTCCTCAGGAACCAAAATCTCTTGAAATCAAAAACTTTGCGCACTAATATCCGGTCATAAATTTGGAACTTGGCCCGCGGTCTTGCACGGCTCTGTATGACGGTTTATGGGCCGTGCCAGGCCCGACATGATCATGTAGGCCATGTTAGGCCTGGGGTTTTAAGTCTATGGGCTGGTACGGTATGGCACGACACAACTAGCACAGCCCATGGTGCAGTCCAACACGGCCCATATATATATTTTATATATATTATATAATATTATATAAATTATAATTATATAACAATATACAATATATAATATATTAATAAAATAAATATTTTTTTTATTTTTATTATACTAATTTATTTAATTATTGTATATAGAAACAATTGTATACATAAAATTTATATAAAATTAAAATTTTAAGTTTTTTGTTAATTTTTTTAAATAAATAACTTTGGCCCGATGTATAACCCGACCAAGCCCAAGGCTCAGCCCACGGGCCAACCCGACCTACGACACGGCACGGGTCCGTATAGGCTAGGCCAACCCCCAATTTTTTTTACGGAGAAAGGCGGCATGGCCCGTAACGACCCGTACTTTGCACGGGCCGTGCCTCTATTTGCTCGGGAACCAAAATCTCTTGAAATCAAAAACTTTGCGCACTAACATCCGGTCATATATTAAGAATATCTCCGTACATAGACTCATGGAAAGATGCTCTGATGTATGCATGGTTGGATTCCCGTGCAGGCGTGCATTCAAACCATGTGCAGGGTTACTGCTTGGAAAGAATCCCGTTGCCCTGGTCTGCTGCAGGTCGGTCAACCAGTACCGAATCGGACCGGATGATATCCTGTTTCGCGGAGGTATACAACCATCACAGGTTGATGAGATGCCACCATGACACCTGGATTTTTGAAATACAGTCACGTGGTCTTTTTTAAACCCGCTCATCTTAAACAGGTCGTAGTTGTGTGCAGAAGACGTCACATTTGAGTTCAGATCTCCTGTCCATAAGAATTCTGTCCACGTTTATTTATAATATACTATTCTTCATAAATTAAGAATATTATATAATATTATCTCGTGGATGAGATGTTGTTCATATGTGACTGCAATAAACGTAAGGAGAGATTGTGTGGATAAGAGATACTGATTCATCACATTTGGATTTAGACTCTCGATCTATGATCTACTTTGTCTTCTGTGCCATTTGTAATTTTATTTTCCTTTTTTTTATATTTGTTGAAATTGGAATGTTTTCCTCCGACAATATCTGACTCAAAAATAAAAAAGGGGTTTTATAGTATAAAAATTGCTGTGCCGCAGTAAGATGTATGGTTGGATTACCTTTAGGCCCCACATAGAGTGGATGAGTGATCAACCACCATCATAATCGTACTTAGATTAGACTTATTATTTCGATTAGTCTGATCGAGTGTAGTCAAATCATAGTTATGTGGTGTGTGACCTTTCATCAGGGTTGTCATTTTTATTTGTCAATACGCAAATGCAGACAAATTCACACAACTGGTTGTTGAGCCCCACCCAAGCCCAAGCACCTAACCAAGATCCTTATGATAAATCTAGATCATCTTAATCGTCCATTTAAGAGACAAGTCGATCATTTATATGCCCAGAGGCCCAGGACATATGGAGGCAGCGAAAATTTTACTGTCTGTGGTCTATAGTTAGGGGTGAAATTTGGGCGGGTTCAATCCGAGTCCTGACCGATTTAACCCGAAATTTTACAAGTATTGAGTTTGGTTTTTTGTTCTTCAGATTGAATTAGGATTTGTGATTGAAAAAAAAAAATCAGACCTGTGACCTTAGGTTTGGGCCTTAAACTTAAATTTTATGATTGAACTTAAAGTATGTTTTTGGTTCTTTGTATTTTATTTGTTGATAAAATGGAAAAATATAATAATTATAATCGTTTATCACAATTAGTCACTACCACGCTCCATATCAGCATAAAAGTGAAAAAACACCTAGCCATTTGTGAAAACTTTAAAAAATAATTTTCACAAACAGTTGGCATGCGCAAAAATCAAAATTAATTTTTTTTCATTTTGGATACATACAAAAGAGTAAGAGAGGGAAAATGCTGAAGTGGCACAGATATGACACCGTCAATAAACATTTACTGAATAAACATAAATGGAACCAAACACCCTCTAAATTGACGATAAACCTGGCCCATTGCGCCTGTTTGACAAGGCCCTCTCAATAGTTAAACCGCCAATTTAATTTAACTAGTTCAGTTGTTTACATGGTCAATAATCGGACGGTGTTGATTCAATTTAACTTGTAATACATTTTGCTTTTGTTGATAAGATTACAAATCTATTTTTATTTTAGACCGGTCAGTTGTCAGTTGGCAATTTCTATATCAACATCAGGATTGGAAAAGCCAACCCAACCCACCCCACTTCAATGGCTGGAGTAGGAGTAAGACAACCGCTTGCGCTTTGCTCTTTGTCGTAGCGAATCGACCAACAACATTCAACTAACTCTTTAACCGCTCCTTCCCCTCACTCAATCTCTCTGCTCTCCAAGGGATGTCAAGGGGCCGGATACGATGGTAAACTCGGCTTATAGAATCGAGTTTAGGTTTTGATTGTTCAATCCGATTAGAGTTCGGGTTTCACTACCTTAAACCCACAAGGTGTTGTTTATTGTAATTTGGTGTGAATATTTTACACTGCTTCGAGTTGGGCTTATTCAAAATTTAGCAAAAACTAAACCCAAGCTTAGTCCATCGGGTAGCCTGACAGGTCGGTTCAGCCCCGCCCGGCCTGGCCCCCAGACAGGCTTGAACAAGATTTTTAGCCCGTGGGCCTAAAAGCTTGGCTCGATTTTTTTGGGCCGAGTTCGGGATTTGTCAAAAAAGCCTAGCCCAAGCTCGGCCCGACCCATGAACAAGATTTTTAGCCCGTGGGCTTGACCTTGGGTCTAAAAGCTCGGCTCGATTTTTTGGGCCGAGCTTAGGATTTGTCAAAAAAGTCTAACCCAAGCTTGGCCCGACCCAGCTTTTAAACCCTAAATTCCTAAACCAAACCCTTTTCGGTTTTCATTCTTTCTCACTCTCAACTCTAACCGGTGAACTTAGGCACTCTCAAAGGCAAACTTAGGCATCGCGCGACCAGTGACCGGCAATGAGTCCTCTTTCTCACTTCTCATTCTAACTCTAGTTATTTTTAATGCTATAGTAGATGACGACGAAAAAGAAAAACAAGTTTTACCTTACAATTGTAGGGAAGCCACGAATTCTATTTCTATGTACAAACAACTACATGAATCAATAAAATTTGTATTTCTCTCTTGATTGATGCTTTAATTCAATTGTAGATGAACAATGGATGATTGTTTTTCCATTGTACCGAGCAACAAAGTTGTATACACAGCCGGGCTTTGGGCTCGTGCTCGGACTTGAAAAATCCTATTAATAAAGAGTAAAAGTTCGGCTTAGCCCATAAATAGGTCTAATCATGAACATCCTACTATTCTCTACTTCCAAGTTCCGTCCCTTTTGCTTCTTCGCCTTCACCTTCACGGGGTTGTTGGTTCATTCCGAACCCAACCTAAAGCCACACCAACCCGGACTTAACCGGTCCCATATGTAGTGCACCTATATTCAAACAAAGCCTATAAAATGTGAATATCTCAAAATGCAAATGGATAAGGGCAGTGCGTAATACCTCAACCCAAACCCGATTATAGATGACCCAACCATTTTCCAATAAGGTCGGACCGGCGCGGTTTACCGTTTAACCCGACCCATTGACATATCTCTACAAGTAAGAAGCCCGATAAGGTCCCATATCACTTTTCTAGTCCCCATCATTTGTTCCTCGCTGTACGAACGAAATCCCAACTTCCAAATCTAATCCCTGCACACTCATCAATCATTAATCCAGGCCCTCCATTTTTAATACATACAGATCAGACGGTGGTACATCCATACACTACATCTACATCCAAGAATATAGATTCTAATCCGAAGGTGCCCGTTAAATCTCCTTCCTGCCGACCAATAACAATACCAAGATACTGCTTGGTAATCGTAACCGTATACGCTTATACTATACAAAAGTGTATACTGTACACCAATGATGGTACTGTTGTGACGTAATGATCTGACGGTCCCGCCAACTTTGTAATTGATCAAAGGTCATGATTACTGGGCCCACCGCATGCATTTGACTACGGCCATACGGCAAAACCACCCAGATCATGGGCATCAGGGTAGGTGAAAAATGAAGGTGTACAGCGAAACTCCTGTCCGTTCTCAGCACCGTAAAAATAATTAATTATAAACCGTTTAAATTTTGTATGAACAGATAACGTAAGTATCATAACAGTGACACTAACCTTGATTATTTAAATTAATAGAGAGTTAACTTAGTCTTAATCTTATAGCAGCAGCCCCACTGAACGCCGCTCCACAAAGGAAAACAGAATTAAAGCGCGGCCATTTCGTAATTTTGTGGAAAGTTTGCCGCGTGTCACCTGATCAAGGCTATATCGTGAAAATAATATCATTAAAAAATTGAAATCGGCGCTTCTCTTCGAAAAGAAAAAAGAAAAAGGAGAAAAAAATAAATAAATAATTTTAAAAGAATAAGGAAAACTCGTCTTTCTTTCTGTTCCCTCTGGTATTTATAATCTCTGACCTGAAGAAAATCTTGGCTTATTATATGTAGATTGTCCTGTAAAGATAGGGCTTCTGGTTTTCTGGTTGCGTGGAGGAAGAGCAGAGCTTCAGAGGTACGTTCTTTTGCATTCTTCCATTCTTAATTGTAGTTTTGTCGATTCTTGCTCTGGTTTTTGAATGTCGATTTGATCTTTTGTTTTATTGTAGACGATTCGGTTGTTTGAACAAACTGGTTCATTTCTCAACTGTAATCTCGCAATTCTTGGGGGGTGTGAATGGTTTTGTATCTGTTGAGGGGAGTGGTGTGGCCTAATTGGAAATTTGGAATAGGATTTGTTTCTGTTTCTTCACGAAATTGACAAGGTTTAGGATTGCGGTTGTTCACGAGTTCTAGTGTTTCGTTGTTTGATCCTTGATTTTAGGATCCGATACGGAGGATGTGTGTTGTCATGTGTCGGTTTCACCTTCGAGGCACCGGGGGTTAGGTGGTAGTTGAGTGGTTGGGGACGGGGACGGGGACGGGGAGGGGATAACATGACTGATTTTGGGCCGCGGCAACAGAAGCAGGAGAGCAATGATGCTCGTGCGGAGTTCCAGCGGGGTTTGGAGGAGTTGATGCGTGGTCATTTGGATGATTGTATGTCATTGGCTTCGTGTAGCTCTACTCGAGATCAGGAGGATGATGATGAGGAGGGTGATCAGCTTGTGCGCCGCAGGCGACGGTCGGATCTCGAAGGGGATGATTTGGCTGAGTCGTCTGCGGCGCGAAGGCGCCACTCGCGTATTCTGAGTAGGTGGGCTGCTCGGCAGGCCCAGGAGATGATTACTACCATTGAGAGGCGGAACCGTGAATCTGAACTCATGGCTCTTGCCGGTTTGCATACTGTTTCCATGCTTGATTCTTCCTTTTTGAGGGAGTCACAGTCTCCCACTTCAAGACGGCAGGGGGCTGTTGAGAGGCCGAGCACGCAGGCATCCTCTCTCCTGCAAATGTGGCGGGAGCTGGAGGATGAGCACGTGCTCAACCATGCCCGAGAAAGGGTGAGGGAAAGGTTGAGGCAGCAGAGGGATGTTGAATCTAATACCAATCTTTCAACCACAAACATGTCTGAAACCCGGGAGAGTGAACACCGTGGCAGTTTGGATGATGCAAGTGAGAGTGAGAACGAGTATGGGACGTGGTCTCAAGGTCAAATGGAGTCACATAATGAACGTGGAGATCATAACAATTCTAGCCGTGAACAGTCTCCTGATATTGGCGAAGTTGAAAGGGAAAGAGTGAGGCAGATTGTTAGGGGATGGATGGACATTGGCATGAGTGACCACACGTCCAATGCTTCCCAGAGAAACAATAGCCCTAGGGCGGAGTGGCTTGGTGAAACTGAACGGGAGAGGGTAAGACTCGTGAGAGAGTGGGTCCAAATGACAAGTCAGCAGCAGAGAGGTTCTCGTAGCAGTAGAAGGGAAGAAAGAGCTGTTGCACTTGGTTCTCAGATTGAAAGGGTTCGTGATGGTATGGTTGTTGACCATGATGAACGCCAAACTGTGCACATTCGAAGGGACAGGCTGCGGTTGCGTGGAAGACAAGCTCTCATTGATTTGTTGGTAAGGGTTGAGAGGGAAAGGCAAAGGGAACTGCAAAGCTTGTTGGAGCATCGAGCTGTCTCGGACTTTGCTCATCGCAACCGTATCCAGGTCAGTTGCTTATCAAAATGTTCATTTCTTTTATGTTTACCCTAGTATGTATGAATATTGCATTTACTCTTGTTATCTGCAATTCCACAAGGAAATTAAATTCTAGGTACTCTGATAGTCTGATTTGGAAACTCGATACTTTTTTAGGATGGGACCTAGCCAATTAGGGCTAGGTGTGTTGGTAACATGCTTAAGAGATAGAAATTCAATGTCTTGAGTGTCTCTCTTTACTTGAAATGCATATTTATAATTGAGTAATAAAAGCTAGATAAAATGTGATACCTAGAATGTAATACATGCATAACTGTGCTTATGCATGCATACACGTACCCGTGCACCCATGCATTAATTAACAACTTCTTTTGTAACTTTGAGGTGTACCTCATCTTATATAGTACTTAGAATTTACATAATAAATGGATGGTTAAACCATGCCTCTTTTTTTATCATTCCTTGAGATATCAAGGAATTTATCTGATGATTATGATATTTTAATCTTTCCAAAACTATTCTACTATTTTGATTCAAATGTTCCTAAAATGTTTTTATTTTCAACTTAGACGAAGTCTTTTGTCCTAGAATCAACTATTTTCGCTGTCTTCTTTTTTTATAATTTTTACATCTTCAAATGATTTACTAATAAAGTTTCTAGTCATTTAATGCCCAATGAATTCATTTAGAATCATTTTATTATCTTCAATAATTCCATGAGTAGGTATTCATTTTTAAATATATAGGATGCTTATGTTCTCAGTTCTCAACATTGACTACTCACAAGTTAGAATTCCAGATGAGACCATCTATAGAAATTATATTTGTTACTATGATGTTTAAATTACATGCTATATGCTATTGTATGACCTTGGAATCTGATGTGGTATTTTTTCCAGTCATTACTCAGAGGTAGATTCTTGCGAAATGAAAGATCTTATGAGGATGAGAGGCCACCTTCAATGGCGGCGAGTGAGTTAGGCCAGTTAAGACAATGGCATACTGTATCTGGTTTAAGGTATGCATTACCTGTTCTATTCCATGTCTTCTCTACCCTTTTCAGCATTGCCTTCACATTATTTTTCTTGCATTGTGCTTTATTTGTTACTACCTGGTACATTTTCTTTCTGGTTCAGCTCTGCAATTTCTACTTCTTTGTAGAGCATGTAAAGAGGACACAATTCTATAATATTGTTTGTATGCATTCTCTTTGGTAGTGTACTTCCAGTTTGATTAGTTGGAAAATAAGAATTTACGCCTGATACATCTTTGGCAGATAAAATTTAGCGACGGATAATTTTGTTGACATTTATTCATAGAAAATTAATTTCAATTTGTGTGTTGCTAAGAACCCATTACAGGCTAAATAAACAAGGGAAGTTTGCAAATCTTAAGTTGAAAACAATGTTGAGATTATAATTCTTAACAGTTCCAACTTCCAAAACATCATTATTGAAAAGTTGTGAAATTATCAATTGACAAACCTAAGTTGAGATCAGGATACAAATTGAAGGAAGAATTTGATTGTTGCCTGCTTCGTGTCTTTGGCAAGAGACTGATTCCACTTGGTGTCTTGTTCACAAGCCTTTCCTTCCCAAAAGTTGGTTTAGGGCTTTTATGTTTGAAAATCTTCCATAAATCTTATAGAACATTTGTTACCCATTTTTTTAAATGTTCATCAATAATTTCCTTTGGAGCCTGTGGGTTAAATTCTCATTTGGGACTGTTTTGCTAGTTCTTTTAACTTCTGTCCTTTATTGGCATGTAGTATAGGTATGGATTAAAAGAAAAAGATGCCCCCTTGATTTTAATCATACATCTTTATAAATTAAATTCCTAGGAGTTCTATTCTTCTTGTTTGTGATATTTGAAAAATACATATGGTAATCAATAAGAAAGACTCGGGAAATGGTACTAAGCACATACTGTAGAGACATTTTAAGGTTAAATATTGAGCTAGTGTGTCCAAGCTGATACTTGGAAAACCTTTATTAATGAAAATTGATTTTAGTTGTTTCTGCAAGCTCCTGTCTGGAGTCCTGTCAATTTAGGGCTCGAGTTACTCCCCATTATAGCTCCTTTTGATTGAAGGAATGCACACCAATGCCCATGGAATAATGTCCTGGATTATACGATATGGTAGAACATCCTGTAATGTCTTGAAAGCACTTGAAGTTGGAGAAGTATCTAATCTAATGTCTTGAGTGGAATTCTTAAGGATTTTGATCACATGCCTATATTCAAAATAAATTTGTTTCTTTTCCACTTTTATGATAGTATTTAGAAGGGGATTTATGATCATAGGAGGGTGTTGATAAGATTGGATGATGATGGAGAGTGGACCATGGCGTTTGCTGCAAAGATGGAAATGACTAAATGAGGGGTGTGGTGGGGGATGGGGAGTAGGAGTGAAGAAATAAAATATCTCTGATGTATCACTGTATTGAATGGCAGGTTTTGGTGGTTTGGTATTGTTTTTGTTGTGTTATGGTGAGATCTTGCTTAGGATGATGAGAGCCCTCCATATGCATGAGGCACTCAGGCACATGACTTGAGCTTGTGAACCTCCATTCTCAAAATTGGTTAAAAATGAAATACCAGTAAATAGACAAAGCCCTGTTTGAACATTTTGGTGAGATTTTTTTTTTATTTTCATTTTTTTTTTAATTTTTACTTCATATTAACAGTTGATAATATTCATCAGATTAAGCCAAGAAGAAGTACAAGCATATTGTTGGGTCTACAACTGCTCTTTATTTACTCGAACGACCCTTGATGGGAAGTGATTAAGTAAAGCATCCAAAGGGTTTAAAAGATTACAAATATGTTAAAAGTAAGCAGTGCAACATTTGCTCATTGCTCAAACAATATAGAAAATAAGAATTTGTAACAAAAACAGTTTCTCTTTTCTATTTTGTTTGTTTCCTAGTCATACTTCTCTGGTAGCCTAGTTTTTGATTAATCTTTGAGCTGCTTTTTGCTGACATAAGGCAAACTTCAACAGATGGGGTATACTCCCCTAAGTGTCCAAAGCACGAGGATGGGTTTGAGTTGTTTAACCCAATGTTTTCAATTCGTCATTGACCGGGCTGGTGGGAATTGGATCAATGACCCAGTAATGATTCTGGTTCTGACTGATCTAATTCCTGCCACTTTACAAAAAACCATTAACTTGTCCTGTTGACCCAAAGGATTGAACCATTGACTTGTTTGGCCTGTTCACTGGCTTAGAAGGTTTTCACATTTTTTTTGATTTTTTTTATTGCAGCAATTTCACAGTTGACCATTGACCCATCCGCCCAAGGCAAAAGTGGTTCAGCCTCTGGGTCGACATTGGTTTAACCCTCAAGGGCCATGCCATGACATTTTCTTGAATCCGTTTTTCAAGGAAGAAAAGGTTAAGTCTTGTCTTGACATCAGCAATTACGAAGAACTTTTTGAGATGTGAATGTCTAATAATGTAATAGCTCGATTTGTTCTTGTTGCTTGACTGAAAGTCTGTAACCATCTTCCTAAAGCCTACGTGCCTTTTAGAACTTTAATAATTGTTATAAAAAGCCTACATGCCTACACACCTTATTTGAAAAGCCTATTAAGATAATCCATACCTTTTGTATTATATACCTGCAAAAAAGGGTTAAAAATGTTGCTTTTGTTGATAGTGAGCCAAGCTTCAATAAAAATAAAAAGGTATACATGTAAAAAATAAAAATTCTATATGTAAAAAACTATTTGTGGTTATACATATAAAAAGTTATTTGTTATTGTATATAAAACTAAAAATATTATATATAATTTAAGCTTGATTAGGCTTGTGAGCCTCACGAGCGGGAGCTTCATTAGGCTTGAGCTTGGCTTGATTAGCAAATGAGCCATATTGGGCTCAAGCTCAGCTCAAAGCTCAGTTTAAACCGAGTCGAATCGAGTTTTTCACGAGTTGAGCTCAAATAGCTCATGAAAAGCTCTGTTCGTGTCCACCCCTATTTGTTACCAAGTAACAAAAGATACAAAAAACGACATTTATCTTGTACATTAGCTGTTCATTTACGTGAAATAAGATAGGAGGTAAAAGGGAAATGTTATGTAAAAGTGTTCTCAAGAATCTGTGGAGTGTGTCACCCATTTAGGAGGGTCAATGCAACACTGATTCTAGTTGTTATCTATTGCATGGATTCACTTGTTTGGTGATCTGCCTTTAATTGGAATCTTTTGTAGAAGGTTTTTAATCATTACCGTAGTTATTTTTTTTCAACTATTTGTGCTTAATTTCATGTTGTATATTAATATGTTGCTAAATTATATTTGTGCAACCCAATATGTAAGTCTGTTTCTTACTTTTTGGTGTAGGATCACCTTCTCTTATACCAATTGATGTAGGATGAACCTGAGGGTGAGCATTGGAAGGTAGGTGTTGATTGGGTAGAACAGGGTTGAGGAATGATCTTAACACTAAGGTAGAGTTGATCAGGTTAGGAAGGGTCTTGAGACTTAACTGTAACAATTGTAGATTTGTCCCAAAACTGTGAAAAATTTTTGTTTGGGGAAAATGGGTTTAGTGTTAGATTTTATTAATGAAATTCTGTATGTAGGTTTTATCCTGGATAAACATAAGTAGTGACCACATTTGGTAGGGCTTGGAGTATGATGATGAACACTTTGCTTTGTGGAGAAAACCTGAAAATTATGGAATCTAGGGTTTTAGGTGGAACTTTGAGAGATTTGGTGGAATGGTTATGAAAATCCATGGAGGGCACCCAAATATGAGAGCACTTGGAAATGGTTTGGCACAAATGTACAAAAGCTGTTGGAATTGGAAAACTTTGGGTTTGATGATAAATACGGAAAACTTATCTGGATCAGTTATAGTCCCTTGGGAAAGTTTAATGATCACCATTTGATGAATTTATGGTTGTTGACAGCCTTGATTACCAATATCATAGGAAAATAATTCCTAAACTACTTAAACAATGACTATGAAACTTTAAAAAACACAATTTACTTATGATTAGACAAACTGAACTCTAAGGCTGGACTTCACAGACAACATGCAAAATGACCAAAATGGCCTGTTGGCAGAAAAAAATATTACATGAAAAAAATAGAATGTTTCAGTTTGGCTTCTTTACTTCTGCATCACCTTCTCTTTTCATCTGGATTAGAAATGTAATCATAATTTGTTAATTTGACACCTTTTATGTAAATCAGGGAGGGATTTCACTCTAGACCAGAAAATATTGTTCGTGGTCAAGTAAGCGGCCATTCGAATACTTCATCTGACAACAACATAAATGGGTCTAGAGATGAAGAAATTCAGTCTAGCACTGTACCTGAAGTAACAACTGAGAACCATGAACAATTTCAATCTAGAAGGCAGGAAAATGAAATTCATCTTTTGTCAGAGCGTACGGTAGAATTTACAAGCAATGCAACTATTGAAAGCACAAATATGCAAAGATCCAGTATTGAAGGTGGTGATTGGCAAGAACAAATTGTTGAAGATGGTAGAAGAGAATTGCAACAGCCTAATGAAGCTGAGCTTAGTGAATGGCAAGGTGGTAATAGGGAAGAAATGGATGGAAACTGGCAAGAGAATACAGCTAGGAATTGGCCCCAGGAAACTTCAGGAAATGATGGTGGAGAAACTAGTCACCTGCAAGAAACACAGGAGTGGCATGAAGATGTTTCTAGGGAGGGTGTTGAGAATTGGACAGATGGGCCTTCTGATCCTCCAAGAACTCGAAGAGCTGTTCCTGTTAGGCGGGTCAGTAGGTTCTACCCACCTGATGATGATAATGTGTATAGTATGGAATTGAGGGAACTCCTCAGCAGGTGTCTGATCTTATCCTCTGAAATTGTTTTATTTTTACAACTTGACCTTTTGAATTATTTGCAATGGTTATCCATCGATTTCTTATTGTTTTGCTTAATTGAACTTTGGCTACTCTGTAGGCGAAGTGTTTCTAATCTTCTTCGGAGTGGATTCCGTGAGAGCCTGGACCAATTGATACAGTCATATGTAGAAAGACAAGGTCGTTCTCCCATTGATTGGGATCTACATCGGACTTTGGTCACACCTACTTCACCCCAGCAAGATCAGGAACAAAGAGATGATCAGAATGGTGATCAGCCTGATACTGTTGTGAGACCTCCACTTGTGCTGCCTCCTCCACCAGTCCCCCCACCACGACCTATTTGGCACCAGGATCTGCATCATGCTAATTGGCCTAGGCACAGCATGCATCGTTCAGAAATTGTGCGCCATTTTTTCTCTGTAACACTTCAACTAGAACCCTTTGGCAATAGCATTATATGTTCAATGATTTTATTAAACTTGACAAGTTTGATATTTTTGGTTTTCCTTACATGTCGCACTTTATGGAGTCACACGTCATTTTTTCAAGGTGAAAAGTATTATAGGTGTAGACCACTGAGATTTCATAGCTTGAACTTGCACTCTTCTGTTTGCAAAGTCAATGTTGCAACTTGCAAGCCTGTCAGAGTTGTGACTGTTATCCTTCTATTTCAAAGTCTCTAAATCTACAGCAATATCTCCAATGGTGACCTCATGGACCACAACATCAGAACCCACTGATTTAGGGTTTTGTAAATATTTAGTGAAATTGTATTCTGTTAGATGGTAATTAAAATTAATTTCTATTTTTGACCATTCAAATTATCATGCTTTCATGGATGATAGATCAATTGATTGATGTGACATTTGGCTACTTAATCCTCGTGGTTGATTGTGAAGAGCCTTTTACTAATGGGTTGGCTTGCTCCCGGCTCTGGTGGAGTCGGTTTATGCACCCTTGACCTTGAGTTTACTCTGGGACAGAAGTTTTATCCCTTGAAATCTGTTCTCCAGTAGCCTCTTATTTTTAGATGACACCAGTAACCTCTTTTATTCAAAGTGTACATGCTATTTTTTTAATAGTTTATTTTTATTTTTGTTTATTTGTTTTCTCTCTTGACATACAAGGGAAGGGTAGAATCAATTCTCTTTTATTATATAATCTTGTTATCTAAAAAGACTCATTGTTTCATGAACATTTCTTCACTCATTGCACAAGAATTCCTCGTATTTGTTTCAATTGAGTGTGGGTGCTTTATTTGGAGCAGGAGTGGGAGATCATCAATGATTTGAGGGCTGACATGGCTAGGCTTCAGCATGGGATGAGCCACATGCAGAGGATGTTGGAAGCCTGCATGGATATGCAACTTGAGTTGCAGCGTTCAGTTAGGCAGGAAGTCTCTGCAGCATTGAACCGGTCAGCTGGTGGGCAAGGTCTGTACAGCTTTTGACACACAGAGACATGTTTATGCTAAAAACGCTCTATGCAAGAAGACCATATAATTAGTAATTAACTAATTACAATGACATATCACTCGTTGCTTTCTAGTGAAGTTGCTGTTTTGTGTCAGGGATAGGTGTGGAATCATCGGAGGATGGATCGAAATGGGGTCATGTAAGCAAAGGGGCATGCTGTGTGTGTTGTGATTGTGATATTGATTCGTTACTGTACAGGTTGGTGGTCTACATAATAAAATTTTTCGTGCCTTGTCCAATTTAACAGTAAACACCAAGTCTATGTGCAGTTACCAATAATCTGTCCATGTTTCTTTATCCTCTGTTATTTACAGATGTGGACATATGTGCACTTGTTCAAAATGTGCAAACGAGTTGGTTCGAGGTGGAGGAAAATGTCCACTGTGCAGGGCACCAATCGTTGAGGTGATCCGAGCTTATTCTATACTGTAAAGAGAAGAGAAAAAAAAAAAAAACAAGAAAGAAAGAAAGAAAGAGAAGAAAGAAAAAATAAAAAAAAAAGGTAAGATAAGATGTTGCTGAAGAGCCTTGATATTTGCTATTTTCATGGCTCCATCAGGTTCTTGTCTTTAGATTGTTTTGTTCTTTTTTGCCGCTGTTCTGATCATTTCCAGGATTGCGGAACATTATGTAAATTTATGTTTGGAATGACAAATGGTACCTTCGATTACGATTCATCATTCATGTCTCAATAAAAGATGTTGTCTTCAAACTTGGTGGTCTGGTCTTTTAGTTATTGGATAAAGCCAGCTAAGATGCGTGCTCGCATTGAGTGCATACATGCACACACAAATACGAAAGCAAGACACTGTTCCATGCTTCATTTTCATCATTTCCAGGTGGACAGTGTACTTCCCACATTCCTCTTGCTCTTTTTTGGTAGATAAACTGCCTCTTGCTCAAATGCAGATATGCAGAATCCGGATCTGCTAAAGACAAGATTGTAAGTTGTAACACCCAATCAAAAAGTAAACAGTCAGTTGCTACAGATCTGATTGCACTATGTATCAATTTTTTGGGTCAGGATTACGCGATGGATCACTGATGTATTTATTTCTTATTTCTAAATGGGTGTTGCATATCTTGTTTCTAGCACATCGGAGTCTGTTATTTGTGGTATGCAATCAACCGCCTGATGCTGTAGATCCCCGGAGTTGGGGGGTGACAATGAAGGGGATGATGGGTAATATGATAACTGGGTATCCTTGTTATCAGGAAATCCGTTAATCCACATGCATAACAAACGGGAAAATCTCAGGAATCGGCCAAGATGGTTTGATTTATTTAGCCATAACATAGCCGAACCGTGTATTTGTTAGTACCCTCCTGAGTCCTGACTAGATGGTAGCTCATTCTTGCTCGTAAAGAAGAGAAAAAAAAGACTCCACATGTACAATCTGCTTCTGTAGATGTTTCCGCGTTGAAATTGAAGAGGTAAAACATCGATTTCACCATATGCAGAGTTTTCTCCCCAAGTTTATTGGATTAATTAGTTCTGTACTATTTGTCGGATGAGTAAAGTGAGGGCATTGGATTAACGCATTTTGCTCCTTTCTGCATCGTCGACTTAAAGGTAGAGTAGAACAGAGCATGGCTAATTGGCATTTGTTATTGAAACGTAAGGCTTTCTACTTGTAAGTTTGAGCTTGACGGTGGACGATCTTTTTGTTACGAGTCAAAACTCGTGATTTGTTGAGAGTTAGGGGCTGAAATCCATCATTCATTAACTTGCTTAACTTAATGGACACAACAGCATTCACAGAGATGTTGCCGTTAGAGGAGCAGCAGCAGCATGAGAAAGGGGATTTGATGCCTGTGGATTCAGGGAAAAAGAAAAAGAAAACCAATGGTTATACTTCTGTTGGGATTCAAAGTAGTGCATGGAATGAATATAATCCCACGTTGGAAAGAGTGGCCCGTTCTAAGCTCTTGGGTTGGTTGTAAAGTGATATCCATCTCTTCTGTAATCATCTTTTACAAGTAACAGTTGTATGCTATTACATTCTAAGGGGAACCGATCCGGTGGCAAGCCATTTGGAACAGCATCATCTGGAAAAGTCGCCCCAAGAAACATACTAGTTTCTACAGACACTGCACAAGATTAACAGCTCGACCTATTTGGAATTGGAACCGATGGGTTTCATGTTGACAGAACCAAGAGAATCCAGTTTTAGACAATCAGGCTGAATAGCAACAACTGATATGGGTTCTCGAAGTGATGAATGCGATTGGATGTTGATTTCAGGTCAAAATAACTCGATGCTTTTCTCTAGTGAAGACTTCCGCCAGGCCCCAGGAGTAGGCATCAGAGGGAGCTCTATCTTCAACACAGTTTTCTCATTGGAAGTTCCCATCTTACAGCCATGCATCCCAACTATTTCTTCTTCTTCTTCTTCTTCTTCTTCTTCTTCTTCTTCCATTGGAGGGTATAGACAACTTATAACTTTTATAAGCCTAAGCAACTATGACTTGAGAAAGATTTTACATGCTGTACTTGCCAATAGTGTCCAATCACATAACTCCTAGAGAAAACTCGGAGGAAAATGAGCATGGGCAACTTTTGTAGTATGGACTATGGAGTGCACTTCAATCCAGTATGGTACCAAAAATCGTATATACTCCTGCAGTTAAACTTTCACCTAGTGCTGTCCAAGGTTGCAAACTTATAACCATCCAAAAGAAGTTATGCATATATAGTTAGCATACTGGTCAGATTTTGGCTTAACCAATCTCCCAGAAAGAATCCATTCAGATCCTCTGCATTTTTTGGCAGGTGTTCTGCAGCTTCACTAGATCGCCTCATGGTACCACTGCAATAGAAAGTAGTTGTCTTTTTAGCTAGCTGCTGAACAACTGAAAAAGTACAAGGGAACTCAACGGCAGCTACAATTTTTTGGCAGGTGAGGGCACTATATGTGAGGCTAAACCCAAGGAATTCCTTGTCAAATGGATGGTTCACTTTTGCCTCATAAGTTCTCGTCCTTTTTTATGTATCAATATTTTATTGTCAATTATTTACTAGCATGCAATTACATCTAAGAACTTGTTAATTTATTATTCAAATTCTTAAGAGGTTACTTTAAATATGATTATATAAACTATGTATCAGATTTAATAATAATTTGAATTCCATACAGATTGTGTAAAAATATCCCTTGTCATGATTGATACCAATGTAAAAATCTAAGTTTGTAATAATTGGTTGTAGGAAAATAATTTGAATAAATCTGGTCAGCCTTGTAACTACCTACAATGCTTTTAGATCTTTAGTATAAACTGTTAAATTTTAAAATCTAAATCTAGAAATTTTAATTGACAAATTTCATACTTTCAGAATTCTTATTAGCATAAATAATTACGAAGCGTGAAAATGCTAATTCAAGCCTGATAACAGCCACTTTGTGCCAAAAGTAGCTGGACCAACAATTGGGTAAAGGCCTTAAATAGTTGCCAAGAAATGATGAATATTATAAAAATAAAAAGAACAAGGTTTGTCCTTTTTAAAACAGAAAAAACTTGAATAAGACTTGCCATGCAAAATTCTTATAAATGAAAAAACAATGTCTACTTAAATCTAAATATAATTATATAAAGTTAAGTAAATTATTAAAAATCCAATAAAATTGAATTTTAGCATACATGTTCCAATTAGAGAGTTCCTAACCAACAATTCTTAGTGTACCATCCAAAGGATGTAATTGTTAGCATCTTAAGTTTCTAACTTCCTAGAATGTACTAGTAAATTTATTTTAAAGACCTTTTCTTCTTAAATCTTCTCATACAAGTTGGTTTTGATTTCATGATAATAAACTCTTCCTTTTAAGATTCTTACTTGTTGTTTTTCCTCTTTAGTCGGTTTGAAATATGCCGAGGGTCTGATGAAGATAATACCATTTGAGCAAGGTTGCTCTATAGATGGGTTTATTAGGCTTTGTAAATGGCGACTTCCAAGCCCTACATTAATTGATCCTGTTCAAACCTTGATTACTTTTACCAAAAAAAAACCTTGATTATTGACATCATTATCATCTCTTTCATTGTTATTTTTGATAATATTAATAGTTCCTGGTATTACCACAGAGAAAAAGAATAACCAAATCTAACAAATTATAACTCCTAAGAAGAAGGAATTCAGTTACAAGCCTACTTGATGGTAGCTAATCCTAGCTTTTCCTAACCTGCTATGGAATTGACACATGTTCTCTTTATATTTTACAAAGATTTTCCACATATAGTTTACAATCTAGGAAAGACTGATCTCACCTGCCTTCAGGACTAGGTGCTTTTACATGATCCAGATTTAATCCATTTTAACCCATTGACACCATTAGACACATCTATGTCCATCGTATAATGCTAATTGAGATTATCAGGAAATAGAGCTTCAAAAAGAAATTACATCTCATATATAAAGAATCCGTCAAGTATAAAGGAAAGAATTGGTTAGGGAGCTGGATTGAATAAAGGTGAAGCTCCTTGGAGTTTTGGGTGGCTTCAGGATGGGCCCTATGGGATCGTCTGACCATCTTGTTGTAAAGATATGGTGGGTAGGGTGTAATGTTTTTATTGGAAAACGTCTTGGAGGTTAGGTTTTTAAGGGTTGTTGTTTTGTTGACTTTCATTGGGGAAGTGAGTGTATGTTTTGTTGGGGCCTGTAATGTTGGTAGAGTTAGGGATTTAGAGATTTCTACTGTTCCTTTTTTATGCTATTTTTGGGGTGTTGTATTGGAGTGGATATTGTTTGAGTTGTGGCAGTGTAGAATGGGTGTTTTTTGTTGGCAGTTCCTTTTTCTTAATGAAGTTTTTTATTTTTCTATAAAAAAAAATTAAAATAAAGTTAGACAGAGCAGGTCAATCACTTGCCCAGATTCATCTAGGCATTCTCCACCTCCAGTGAAATGCTGGTCAGGACCATGAGATAGGTGTTGTCTTAGCCAGTGCAAATAAATAATTAAAACTTGGCATCAGTAGGATCTGAGCTGGTTCAAATCACATTATTCTTGGCATCCATCTCAAAAGGATATCACTATCCACCAGAATTATGTCATTTCTAAACTAGTGCTTCTACTACATGGAGTTTATTTGAGCTTCGATTAGCATAAGCAGCTGATAGAAAACCCTCTACTTACCTACTCCTTGCTAATTCTCTGCATACACAAGTCACAAGTTCTTGGGCCCTGATTTCCATAATTCTTGCTTGGATTGATTGAATGTTGAGTTACCTATAAGCATTGACCTTGGATTTCCTTTTATTGCTCTAATTACGTACAATCATGTTTAGTAGCCTAACTTTCTTTTCTCTATTCCTTTTTACAAGCACTCCTCCCTTGGTTAATGATTTTGTATTCAGAAATACATTATTTTCTTTCAAATATGAAAGAGGATTAAAAATTTGGAAAAAAAAAAAACTGAATATTGGAGAAAAGAAAAGTACCCTGCTAAAGCAGCAGATTCATCAGAACCACCTCCTCCCACTCCTTTGCGGCTGTGCCTTGAGCTTCAATACAAGCTCCTCACGCTCTGCTTCTACCTCAGCATATTTGATGCTCATCTCAGTGTACCTCTCATGCATTTCTTTCAACTCTGCCTCTAGGGATGATATCTTGTCATTGTATCCTTCTTTTGTAAAATCTTCAGTGGCCTCAGTATCACCTGAATGTTCATTTTCCTCCTCAGCTAATAACCTGGTTGACATAATAAATAGGAAACTTATCAGCTATGTTGCACAACAGGGTAAATTCTAACGAACCAAATATAGGTGGTCAGTTAAGTTGGAAAATATTTGCACTTACCTCTTAAGTTGTTCTTTATACATATTATTTGCTTCCAAAGCCTCAGAAAGTTCAATCTCAAGAGCCTGAATCCTTACTGTGGGATCAACTCTTGTACCTTGAGGACTTCTAATATGATTAGAATTAAGGTTATCACCCTGGAACCAAAATAAGAGAGAGAGCGTTCAAATGTAATGAATAGAAAAAGACAGATCGTCCATGACTAAACCACTGTTGCAATAGCCAGTGGTATATTATGCCACTAAAAGTTCGAAAGACCAGGAAGGCATGTAATGACTATCAAGGAAGAAAAAAAAATATATATGAATATTTATAACCTCTCCCAAGTGTTGGACAGCATCTAGGTTTGGTTGATCTTGTGGAATCTCTCCTATTTGATCAATCTCTACAGATGACCTCTCTTGGTTTTCTCTCTGTTGGTGGGCATTCTTCTCCATTCCTTCCTGTCACCATAATGCCTGAAGTTAAACACCAGATTCTGCTGTATGTTTGAATAAAATTTTTAAATAAATCTAAAGTAAAAAAAATACATCAAAGAGTAACCTCTGAAAATTTCAGTTCTTCATGTATCATAAATTTGGCATTAGATTCAGGAAATCCAGACAGATCTTTATTGCTGGACACACTTTGAAACCGGTTTTCTTCTCTCTTTAGCTTCAATTCCTGCTCAAGGACTTGAGCTCTCTTTAAGTACTCATCTTTCTCCTCCTCAAGGTGTTGTATTTTCCGCTGAAATTGACTATTGGTTCTTTTAATTCTGCTAAGCTCAATTTTTATCCCAGCATCCTGAGCAAATAATGCTTCTTTTGCAGTTAGATCACCCTCCAGTCGCAGAACCTTTTCTTCCAGGGCAACTTTGCTGCGTCTGCAATCTTCAAATTCAGACATGGCCTTCTGCAAACTAGAAACTTTCTCAAGCAATGGTCCTCTCTCTGCTTTCAATTCTTCACAGTCTCCAGACAGTAACTGCATCAAAGTTTCAAGTTTTTCCTTCTCAAACTTAGTTTCATTAAGTGAGCTCTTAAGAGACAAAACTAAATTCTGAAGTTCTGCTGTCCTCTTCTGTTTAATTTTCAAGGTAGTAATTTCTTCGAATAGGTGTTGCCTTTCATACTCAGAATCTGCAAGTATTTGCTCGAGACCAGTCACAGTGCTTTTGAATCTCTCTTCACTAGATTTGGTAGCCTCCAACAATCTCTTCAGTTTTTCATTGCCAGATATTAGTAATTCATGGTTTTTCTTGGAAGCAGCAAGTTCATCAACCAAGACTTGTACCTTCATATTAGTTTTTACTTTGAGGGCATCTAGTTCATTCTCGGACAACTTGACTTTAGCTTGGACCTCTTGAAGAGAACTTTCTAATTTTGATTTATCTGCGCGTAAAGATATTACTTCAAGCACTGCATCTGAAGCTATTCTCTCCCTTTCATCATCAGGTGCTAATAACTGCTCAGCGAGGTGTGCTACCTCTCTTTGGAGGTTCTCAACTTCAGCAGTCTTTTCCAAATACTTTTGATTTAATAAGTTTTTCTCCAGAATAAGTTTCTCTTTGTGCTCCTTGTTTTCCTGAAGGAGAGCATCCAGTTTTGAAGTTAGGAAATATTCTTTCAAGGAAACGTCTTCTTGCATTGAAGAAAATTTTTCCTGTAAAGCTTCAACTTTTCTGGAGCAATCAGAGAAATGCATTTTTGATTCGAACAATTTGGACTCCAACTGAATGCAGCGTTTGTGCAAATCCAGCTTTTGATTCCTTAACTCTCCATTCAACTTTTGAAGAGAACTACATTCTTCAATGAGACTTTCTGCAGTAGCCTGCAATTTTGGATTTGCTTTTTTTAGATATTCACATTCTTCTTGAGCTTCTGACCACCGTTTTTGCATGTCCTGTAACTTTTGTTTTAGATCCACTTTTTGAGTCTCCATCTGAATTTCCAATCTTCTGATCTCATCCTGGAGACCACTGGAAACAGATTTTGAATTTTCTAGTTCCAATCGACTGGACTCCTTATCATCTGTCAAATACCTTAACTGAGCTTCCAAGCCAGATATGCGTTCTAATAACTGTACATTCTCTTCTTCTAGATAATTTATATGGACCTCCAGTTCTTGTTTTGCACTTTCTAGCTCTGAACATTTCCATTCAAGAGTCTTATTGGCAGAAACATGAGAAGATACAGTGCTGCCAAGAACCACCAAATCATGTCGTACATTATCCAAACACTTCAATAAAATATCGTTTTCCCTAAGTAAAATTTCTGCGTACTCCTCCAATTCACGTTTTTCTTTTTGAAGAGCAGAAACCTTAAGTTCTAACTCTGTTTGAGAACGCCTTAGATCATTGATCTCTTCTACCTTTAATGACAAACTGGCTGCAAGCTCCTCTACTTCATACTGCCTTGATATAAGTTCCTTGCTCAGATCTGCAATGTCCTCTTCCAATCCCATCTCCAATTTCTCATATTCTTCCAAGCTTTTACATGATTCAGACAACTTTGCATCCCTCTCCCTGATTTCTACTTCTTTATGGTGAAGTGCATTTTTACATTCTGTAATATTTTCTTCCAATAATTTATTTAGCATAACAAATTTTCTTATAATAGCCTCACCTTGCTCTTTCAGATTAGTTATAGCTATACTGTTCAATGCCATGATACCATCAAGATCATCTTCACATTCAGTATCTACATGAGAATAAGTCTTATACCATGGCTTCTTTACATGAGTTAAGGCCAGCTGAAGCTGATTAATTAGTTTGGAGAATATATTTGAGATTTCTATGCAAATATTTGAGTCAATATATTCAGATCTAGCACAATCAACAATGTACGGGTCCTCTTTGTCAGTTTTTCTACCTTCAGACCTCTCCAAACGTTGTTGCAGTGCAGTAATTTCCAAATCCCTCTCTTGTACTTCAACTTGGCTTTTGTGAAGTTGGGCATCAAGAGTAGAAGCTTTATCCTTGAAGATTTGTAGCTGAAGCTCCAGTTCAGTATACTTGTTCTCAAGATCTATCAGTTCAGCTTGTAAGTTGGTGGCAACTTCTTCAGGGAACATCTCTTCCTGTAGCTCATTTTCCAATTGGCATATTTGGGATTCAGAGTTTCTGACTTCAGGCTCAGATATACCGATAAAAATGTTGGAATCATCCAAAGAAGCACCTCCTGATGGAAGACCCTTTTTTGATTCATTGAGCATAAGTACAAGATTCAGGTTTTCATCTGTAAGCTCATTGAAGTCTCTCTCTAGTTCATCAATTTTTGCTTTCAAGGATTCAATTTCTTTAGTAAGATCAGGATCATCTCGATGGTCCAACCCTATTTTTTCATCATTGGGATTACCAGATACCATTGCTTCTAAGTTGGTGATTTGTTCTTCTTTCATGGATAGCATATGTCTCCATTCAGCCTCAATATCCGATACAGCTTGGTTCCTCAGGCTCTGCTCATCCTCAATTACCTTGTTTCTTTCCTCCAGGGTTTTCTCTAGTAACTGGATGGTATTTTGCAAGTTCTCTTGTGATTCCTGCAACTCCTTAAGCTGGAGAACCAAGTTAGACTTTTTCCCATCTACCATTTCATTCAAATTTCTACTTATGTTTCCAGCATCACCATCTTCAGAATCAGAATCAGAAGAGGCATTTCTTGTTTTCTCGAGTCTATGAAGTGCTGAAAGATCATCTATCTCCAATCTTTGTTTCTCTATTGTTTCTTCTAGTTCCTGAAGAATAGAAACAAGCTCGATATTTGATTCTTGAGTTTTCTTTAGTTGTAGAGCCAAATTTGCATTTGATTCTTTCTGAAATTTTATCTCATCCTCCAATTCCTTCTGAATATGGCTCATATCTTCTGCCTTAAGTTTTGAATACTCAGTTGCTGTTCCTTTGTCTGTCATTTCCTTCACCAATATTTTAAGTTGTTCAATTTCCTGTTTCAACCCATCACGTTCAGTGCATGCTGCTGAAAGCTCCATATCAAGATCTGCCTGATGTCTTGACTGGTCAGAAAATTCTTTCTTCAATGATTGCAGATCAAGCATTAATTTCTGATCATTCTTTTCCCACACCCTTGCTTCTGCACAGAGTTCATCAATTGTTTCTTCTGAAGATTCAAGAAAGTCTTTGGAAGCACCAACTTCTAAGCATTTCTTTCTCACATCCAATATAGCTTGGTTCCTCAGGCTCCGCTCAACCTCAATTACCTTGTTTTTTTCCTCCAGGGTTTTCTCCAGTAACTTAATGGTATTTTGTAAACTCTCTTGTGATTCCTGCAATTCCTTCAGCTGGAGAACCAAGTTAGACTTTTCGTCTATCATTTCTTGCAAACTTCTACTTCTAGCATCACCATCTTCAGAATTAGAATCGGAAGAGGCATTTCTTGTTTTCTTGAGCAAAGATCTTGTTGTTGAATTTAACTCCCTGATGTCATTATTTATACAGTTATAGCTATGAAGTTCTGAAAGATTATCTATCTCCAATCTTTGTTTCTCTATTGTTTCTTCGAGTTCCTGAAGAATAGAAACAAGCTCAATATTTGATTCTTGAGTTTTCTTTAGTTGTAGAGCCAAATTTGCATTTGATTCTTTCTGAAATTTTATCTCATCCTCCAATTCCTTCTGAATATGGCTCATACCTTCTGCTTTTAGTTTTGAATCCTCAGTTTCTGTTCCTTTGTCTGTCATTTCCTTCACCAATATTTTAAGTTGTTCAATTTCCTGTTTCAACCCATCACGTTCGGTGCATGCTTCTGAAAGCTCCATATCAAGATCTGCCTGGTATCTTGACTGGTCAGAAAATTCTTTCTTCAATGATTCCAGATCAAGCATTAACTTCCGAGCATTCCTTTCCCACATCCTTGCTTCTGCACGGAGCTCATTAATTGTTTCTTCTGAAGCTTCAAGCAAGCCTTTGGTGGCTGAATCTGAAGCCCTTGAATTAAATGATAAAAGATCAGATTGAGAATTATCAGAAATAGGAGATACACCACGAGGCAAACTACTTTGGGAACCAGTTGAATCTTTTATTTCAGTTGGATCATATGCATCGCCACTCAAGTTGTTTCCAGGGGAAATGTCCATCTTGTCTGTGGAACTATCGGCTGAGTCAGAACTATGGTGTGACCCTGACGCTGAGAAACTTGGGTCCTGTGGTAATAAAAGTAGAGAGCAAAATTATGTGATTTTCCAGGAAAGAAATGCTAATCAGTACAACAAAAAGCAGAAAAATAAAAAAATAAAATTGCATATGTAATTTGCCTACAGAGAAAAACCTCTTGGATGTAAGAAATCTCAGTAAGACTGTAATATGAAGAAAGCTATAAAACTAGAGAAGCATCAAGGGCCTGTCTGACAATATTACCTCAGATGCACCTATCCAAACTCATCCTATAGGTAGTAAAGAGATAAGATACACTGTATCGCATTACACTACAAATAAGCAAGAATGAAATCTGGTTGAGATTCTATTGTGGATGGATGAATAATGTATTTAGAATTAAATATGTTAATTTCCATATTTTGTAGGATACTACTATTATTGTTAATTTCCATTTATAAACACATATTTTCTCATTGTAATTGTGTGATTCAAGCATACTATTAATAAAATTTTGAGTTAATTTGACTTTTCTTTTTCTCTTAGATTAGTTCAAGTATTTTATCTTATGTACACATAACAGAGTTCTCACTTCTCACTCTTCTTTCTCAATCCTGCTGAAGTTGCAAGTGCAAAATAAATACATGGTAAATCCTGTCTTTATTGATTGTCATCAATCAAGCTGGTTACTTCGTTGGTGGAACACTCGACTGGACCAGTTAATTTGTTGGTGACAAGAAGAAATGTCAGCAACTTGTGGCAAGTTAATTTCCACAAGGGTTCATGGTTGTGTAGAAAGTCTAGAAATGTCAGCAACTTGTAGCAAGAAGAAAGTTGTTAACATCTGCAGCTTGGAAGCTAGGAATGGACCTTTCTTTTCTTTTTTTGAGGAAGAAAGTAATGAATTTATTAATGAACAGGAAACCAAAAAGACAAACCCTGTACAATAGGTTGCTGTATACAGGGAATATAAAAAGCTGTTCAAAAAACATTTAAGCAATCAGACCCTGACTGTTTATAAAAATATTTTCAAAATAAAAAAAAGTATTTGTACTCTTTCCTCTAAACATTCTGTGACCCGCCAACCAAGATATCATCTTCCCCAAAATTCTTCTTGTAACTACTTGGAACTGACTTTGTTTTCAAAAATCCTAGTGTTTCTTTCTTTCCATAAAGACCAAAAAACTGCAGCAGGCAACATTCCCCATGCAACTTTCCCTTGCTTACTCAGCCCTCTCAAGTACCACCCTCTTAAGAACGGACTTTTCTTTCACCGGAGAGATCTATTTTGCTCTTATTTTCTGTTCTCATTGTCATTGGTTTCTTCAGCATTGGCTTCATTGGTTAGATACAGTGATTCTTTGGATCACCATGTGCTTGAGTGTGGAAGATAGAGAGTAAAGAGATGAGATACACCATATCTAATCACACTATAAATAAAGAAGGAAATTTATTTGAGATTGTATTAGGCTGGATAATGATTGCATTTAGAATTAAATATGTAATTTTCCATATTTTGTAGGGTAGCATTACCAGTTAGCTTCAATTTAGAATAGGTTTCCATATTGAACCTTACTATGTCCTTTAAGCACACATATACTCTCTTTAATTGTCCAATTCAAGCATATTATCAAAAAAGAAAAAGATTTTATTTAAATTCAGAAGAGTCGTCCACCCTTACTACTGAGGCATATAAGAACATTTTTTTTTCCATAACCAACAAATATGAGAACACATTATGATGCACTATATATAACAAAGAGAATTAACATTAAAGTTTTATAGGCAACACATTTTTTCTCTATCAAACATTTCATTGTATGATAATCAATTCTTTAATTTGCATATATTTATCTTTTTCACAAGAATCCTATCCCAGATATGATCTGAGTGAAAGTCTGAAAGTTGCAAGAGCTTGTCAGGAACGCACATGCTTTTCAACTACTAATGCTATAAGCTATGTTGTCCATATAACGAATCAGAATGATAATTCATCATCGTCATCATCATCCAAGTCTTATTCCAGCTATATGGAGTCAGCTAATGAATTAGAATGATAATTACCTTGGAAAATGAATATGTCTTCTAGTCTCTTAGACTCTAGTATGCTTCATGTTTCATGATCCAGAACCAAAATAATAGTTTAAGAAATTTAAAATGTTTTTTAGTGGAAAATGTGAGCCAAACCGAAAAAAAGCATTTAAAAGGATATTACATTTTATTGATTTTCCCCATTTTACAGGATTAATTATTAATCATGACAAACACGTGACAAATAAGTACACTGTCAATTGCATATAGAAATGCTAAAAAAAAAAAAAAAAAGAGACAAGTGATTAAGAGTGACAAAGGTAACCACACCCTACTCCCAAGTTCTCCTGGACGAGAGGTGCTACTCAAAAGGTTACTAGAAGTAGATCCAACATTCTTAGCAAATGCATTATCAGACCTATTTGATCGGTTGTCCAAATCATAATAGTCTGCATTCAGATCTTCCAGATGGGAACTTCTTTCTTTCCATTGTTCATCCCTGAAATATAGTTTCCACAATCAAATGAAACAGAGGATAATTAGAATGAAGTAAATAGTTTGCAATATTTTGGACCCAGCCAGCTTGGTTAGTATAATATTTGTATGGTAAAATAAAAGGCAGAAACCTGTCTCTTATTTGTGTGAGGCACTGAATTTTGACCTGAAATTTTCAGACAAGGAAGACATCCATGTTACTTATGAATAACAAGAAATTGCATGCTTTCAAGACAAAAAGAACCAAGTTAGGAGATGATCATGAATTTGTCACTTTTGCCATGATGCAAAGAAATGGATGGGATAATTGGCATTCTACTGATATTGTGAATCAGCATCTAGTCCCTCAACCATTGTGAAACTTAGTAAATATTTTATTCCGAAGAACATCAAGAATCTTATGCGAAAGGCGAATACCACAGATTAAAAGGAAAGTTCTATAAAACATTTGTAAGGCCAATTATGCTTTATGGAGCAGAGTGTTGGGCAGTCAAGAAACAAGGGCTGCCCAGTGCATGAGAGGCTCCTGCCAATGTGGGGTGTGGGGAGGGACAGATATACGCAGCCTTATCCCCACAGATACACAGAGAGGCTGTTTCCAAGATTTGAACCCTGGTCACCTAGGTCACAATGGAGAAACCCAACCATTGCGCCAAGACCCACCCTTGCAGTCAAGAAACATGTCCAAAAATTTAGTGGCAGAAATTTATATGTGGAGATGGATGAGTATAAAAAATAGAAAGGATAGGGTCACAAATGAAGTCATTTAAAACATAGGAGTAGTTGAAATAGATGATAAAATGAGAGAAAGTAGACCAAGATATGGTTTGATTACATCAATAGAAGACCTTTGACAGCACCCATAAGAAGTGATCAGTTGCAAGTTGAAGGAGTTAGAAGGGCTAGCGGAAGACCAACAAGGATTTGTTTGAAGCAGTAAGAAATGATTTAAGTGCTAATAATTTAACAATGGATATGACATTAAACAGAATGAAATGCCAAAATAGGATTCATGTAGCCGACCCCATATACTTGGGCTAAGGCTTGGACGATAATGAACATCCACATAATATCTAAATTACTTCCACTTGTAAGCATTTCTTAGTAAAGAATGCATATATAATTACAAAACAAGAAGTTTATGCGTATAATTTAAAAAAAAAAAGGATTATTGCCTCACTTGTAAAACTGTCCCATAATTGCATTTCTTCAATGGAAATAAAAGAGGAACAGTTGCACTTGAATTCATGTAGCTTGTTAGGTTGAGGATAACCTCTCCAAGAATACCAGATTTGGACGAACCCTAGAACAAGCATGTTATTCAGATTAGTTAAGTTAAACTTGAGAATAAATCTTCAGTGAGAACAGTGGTGTTTAATGCTTTAGCAAATGGAGTTTATCAAATACTTAATAACGATAAAAATTTAATAAATAATATCAGACCATGAAAAGCTTAATGAGACATTCTTCAGACTCCTTTGATTCACGTGAAACCCATAAAGATTCTATCAGTGTCTCGGTCCATTGACAAGTTCCATCTCTTACTGCTACTTTGCTTGTCTTGGAAGTTGTTTTCCCAGTTTCCAAAGAAACGACATACACAGAAAGCTTCTCCCATCCTTTTGGTACCTGTGTTAAAGATAATTAAAGTAATCAAAAACAATTCAAGCAGGAAAAATTTCCATGGTCTAACACTCTTAATAAAAATATCAACTGCAAAGACATGTATAGGTCCATAAGGGAGTTTGGAAGCTTAAAAGAAAAATTAAGCGCCCAAAATATGTAGACTTCTGTAAAATTATTGTTTCACTTAGAAGTCTATGATGATTTCAACTCCACAAGGGAGAGTCCTTGTTGGTGTAGGCACTATGACAGTGTTGAAGCTACTTTTCAATTTCAATTAAGTCTATACCCTTTCAGATTTTCACTTTCTTCTTCGAAACATAACAAGAATTACAACTAATTTATGATAAATTCACAACCTGAAGACAATATGGAGGTTCACACCAAAATATGAGAATACAGATGATAAAAACATGAATAGCCATTATAACACTTGGGACTCTTCTTGCACAAAAACTAATTTCAGTCCAGAGAGAATGCTCCATGCTTTACTGAGGTGCTTATTGCTTGACATCTTGAGACAATAGTGCCAAGGTCTAACATGCTGATCAATATAAATTGGGCTAACTTCTCTAGTCAGCCATGTTTTACTTATGTAAACCATTTTTAGTCTTCACTTTTTTTCTTATCAAAGGTGATACATTGTTTGAGCACTTGTTTTTAAAAGGGTAATTTATCAAAGGATAATTACACTATGGGCCTTGAAGCACCCAAGATGTATTTAAGACTATACAAGCATTGCTAGCAAGATAAAAAATACATTCATTGTTGGAGCACGCATCAAACATTTAAAATTGATTATGATGGAATTGGACATCTATACTGGAAAAGCATCAGAATAATTACAACACCTATCTAAAAGAGAAATTTCATGGAGAAAAAATTTTCCAAGTTCTTCATGAAAAAGACTGAGCAGATGGATTTAGATAACTAAACAGTAACTTGATATTCTCAAAACAAATCAAATATTGTTTTCTCAATATAGGATCTACTAGACTTCTATTTGATCCTTCCATTGCACAGAAGTGTAGTTCCTAGTTGGCCATTTTCAGTCTATACTTACATGTATCCTTCAAAACTAAGCACCCTAACAATGTTGGGGACTCATGACAATGAAATCCACTTGCATTGGTTTGAGTTTATATATACTGGTTCAGTGGTACATGCAAATGTGTGTGCAAGATGAGTGAAAAAACAAATGGACTAAAATTTTGTGATGGTCTTATTGACGTGAGGCCAAGTCAAATATTAGCATTGTACAATAAAGGTCATTTGATTTGTTTTTCAAAAGTTGCATCTTTATTTATATGAAATCAATAATATTTATTAGTGATAAAATTAAAAAAAAATTAAATCATATCTGCTGAGCCACCTCATATCTGCTTTGGTTTTTGGCACTTGAATCTATAACCATGTCAAAATGGTTTTTGGTGTAATTTGATGTTAGTTACATCAATTTAAGTCTATATGCTAGCTTCTTTTCTAATGTTCATTAGTAATATCTACAGACTTCTAGGGCAATCGACACTTCACTAGAATCCCCCTACCCAAAAAAAAAAAAACAAAAGAATAAATAAGAAAACCTATAGAGGTTATTAGTGTACTTGATACAATTAGTTTGCACGTAAAAAAAACTTTCAAGCTCAATTAGGAAGAACTGCTGTAATCAAACTTATCTGTCAAATGAGATTTGTCTCATTTGACGGTGAATCACAACAATGAGTCCTGGAAACTAAGCTGCAATTTCTTTCTTCCATTGTCCCACAGTTACTTGTGATTCTGAAATTGGGAATTTTATGCCTTCCCATTCATGAGAAACCAGATACCCTCAACAAACTATGGGAATAAGTCTCACAATTGNATTCATGAGAAACCAGATACCCTCAACAAACTATGGGAATAAGTCTCACAATTGCAGAGCATGCTAAAGTGTTGTCCTCTATGCTTAATTAATTCTAAAGAACTTATAATGCCCAAGAGTTGGGTTGCATGAGAAACCGGATGCCCTAAAAAAACTTTGGGACTGGAAGGATGCTCAAGTGTTGTTCTCAATGCTGAATTTATTCCAAACTTATAATGCCCAAGAGTTGGATTACATGGAAATAAAACAAAAAAAAAAAAAACAAATTTAGTGAAGAAAAAGAAAGGAAGAAAAGAATGTTTCTGTTTGTATCACAACAGTTGTGCATTCATAACAACAGCATTCAAGCAAAATAAATTGGAGTTGTTATGGAAACACTAGACAGAGAGAGAGAAAGAGAGTTGTTTTGAGTACCTGAAGTGCCTGAAAATTAGAGAATCTGAAATCTATTCTCTTCCCTGACCCTGACCCTGATTTAGACTTGTGCTTGTGCAGCTTGAACATCCTTCTTTCTCCCTTCAAATTCTCCAAAATCTCATTTCATCCCTTCAAACAACACACCCATTGCAATCACAATCACCACCAATCCCACCACCACCCCATATTCACACACATACACACAGAGCATTAACTGGTCATAGTTAAGATATTGGGCGTTTTATTGTGGTGTCAGAGAAAACCAGACGAGAATATTAATGGGCGGAACGTCGTCGTTCTGACTGTCAGCTATGGAGGAATAACACCATTAACGTAGTTCAGAAGTGGGTACAGGTCTCAGGACTCCGGGCGGAATTTAATTAATTTTTAATAAGATCGCAGCGCCGGTGCAAAAAATCAGCGTCCAGACAAGGGGAGCCCACAGACATCCATGATCCATCTCGTTCGTTATTTTCGTTACTCTCTCTCTCTCTCTTCACTAATTAATTAACCAATTAATTATTCTGATATCTATCGTTCCTTCATTTCGCGAATAATAAATCCCGTTGATGTGACCACCAGGTCCATCACCACCGCGCCTCCTCCTCCTCCGCCACTCCCAACCGTTTCTCCTCCGTCGACGTTCTCTCCCTCCAATCGGATCTCCCTATCACATCTCTCTTTGCTAACGTGCGCCCGAAACATACCATGTATCAGATTGGGTAAAAGTACAATGCTTACCCAACTTTTCTGATTAGTTTAGGATGATTAATTACAGAGATGAGAGATCCTCCCTCTACTTTGGAAGCTTTTGACACTTTACTACTGTTTTTCACAACTTGTCCCCCCCCCCCCTACTTTCATATCACGCCACGTGTCATCAAAATCTTTCTAAAAAAAACCTTTATTTTCTATCATAAGATCTCTACCATTGATATGTTGTGACTTCAAGATCTGGACCATCAAAATGCCATTAAATTCATCTCAACCATCCAATTGACAAATCAACGGATTAAATTGATCTCAACCATCCAAGTGATGCAAACATTTTAACTTAAATAATGGGGCTGAAAGTCTGAAACCTCCCCCTGAAGTTTCTCGCTATTGCTGATATACACTCTATTTATTAAGAATCTTCTTCTAAAAAAAGCATTAATAAAAATGTTTATTTTTCAAATTTTCTTTTCATATGAATTACTATCTTAAACCCTTTCAATCTTTTTTTTGAAGTTGATTTATTTTTTAAATTTACCCTTCATATCAATCACTCAAATGTAAAATTGCAATTTTAAATTCCCTTTGTTTTTATTTTTAATTGTTCATAAAGTTTGTATTGTTTTTTTTTTTTCAAAAAACCAGCCTCGATAGTGACTGTATAGGTATTTTGGACATTTTCATACCTTAAGAGATGATTACAATTACTAAATTAAAACAAGGTATCAAATCAATTCAAAAATCAAGATTAACAATTGATTAATCAGATCTATCCAAATGATGTAACAATTTAAACTAACGATTTGATCCGTCAAAGTGGCACCATCATCATCATCACCGATCAAGCCTTATTAGGGTCAATCATAAGAATCTTGTTCCTCCTGTTTCACCATTTCATTTTATTTAGGGCCCGTTTGGTTCATGGGAATAGGGGTCTGGAATCGGAATCGGAATGGGTTATTTCGATTCCAACTGTTTGATTGGATGGAATCGGAATTCTATTCCCATTCCTGCTAGAATGTTATTCCCCTATTTAAGGGAATGGTCATTCCCAGCCCTTAAGGAATGAAATTCCATTCCTACTGATTTCAATTCCCATTCTCATTCTTATCTGAACTAAACAAACTATGAGAATAGATCATTTCAATTCCAATTCTGACTGCAAACCAAACGGACCTTTAATATTATATCCATTGTATTGTTGTGAACAGACACGACTCCCAACTTTCATATGGGATTCATATGATACGAAAACCCTTGGCTAAACCATATCGCTTAACCCAAAAACAACATAGACGTTTGGAACTGGGAAGTACAATCTTGATTGATCATCATCCTTCATCCATCCATCCAATGGGTGGGTGTTGGGCCTGGGCCACACTAACATGGGGCCCATCAGCAGTTTGGGAGAAAGTTTACTTTCCTCTTCGAGGAGTCCTTGTCGTTGTAATTGAATGAAGAAGATGGGAGTCATCTGACAAAGTCTATCAAATCACGAGTCTTTGAAAAAGAAAAGTATTCTTTGTTGCTGAGCTTCTCTTTTAGTCCCTTTGTCGGTATCGATTTCAATAAAATGGTGCCGTATGTATAGGGGTGTCAATTGGACTGTATTTGGTCCAATTCGATCCAGTTTAATATGAATAATGGATCAGGCTTAATTCAATCTAATGAATATTTTGAGTTAATTTAGATTGGTCCAATTTAATTTTTGGACTGTCTAATCCGTTCAAATTTATTTTGATTTAGATTAATTTCAATTCAAACGCAATTTATTGATATATTTTTATCTTATATCAATAGATTAGATATTTACTTAATCCAATTCAATCCATATAAATTTGTTACAGATGAATCAAGTCCAATCTAATCTAATAAATATTTTAGATCAGATTGATTCAATCCAATATATCTTATTGGTCCAATCAGTTCAAATTAATTTTGGACTGGACGGGATCCAATCCAAAACCGTTCCATTGACACCCTTACGTATGCATGCTAATTAATACGGGAATGGTGAAGGGTGGACAGTGGAGTAAAATGAATGAAAAGGTACATTAAATTATGAGGATTGGGTGCGGGACAGGTGGGTCGTACCGGATCCGGATACGTTCTTTCTGGGTGGTGGACCCGATACACGTGATACGTACTTGATTGGGTATCTATGACCCTACATGCAGTCAGAATACACCCTTTGCATGAACCACTGATTAGTTAATGCAGGTCATGGTATGTTATATGGGGGGCAGTACTTGGCATCTATCATCGGGTGGAAGCGGCCAAATTAATGAATTGTGAACCCTAAATCCTAGAATCTATATTTTAAATCCTTAAACCCTAAATTTATTAATTCTAAAATCTAAACTTTAAACCCATTAATCCTAAACTCTAAAATCTAAATTTTAAAAATTTAAACTCTAAAAAACCCTTAAACCCTAACCTGAATCTTGTATAAAATGATTTTAATTAGATCCATGTCCTCCGACCGGATAGAAATCAAGTATTTTCTGTTATATGGACCCCACCAAATATAGTTGAACGGGTGAACCAGAGACCATGGTCCAGTGAGCTTTCCAGTTTTCTGTCCAATTTGAGTCTGACAACACTGGTTGGTGCAACTTCTATGTAGGTAAGTGAAGAAGCAATTGATGCAGTGAATATAAAGCTTCAACCTACCAGCAATAAGATATTAAGAAGTGAAATTGACAGTATCCCACCATTCATTCCTCTTACAGTTCTTTCTAACTACACCTTGAATGGCAATAAATATTGAATGCCTCTTCCTCATCCCACATCAGACTGAGATGATTTTTTCCACAAATTTGATTAAAGTTACTAATTGAGATTTACAAGTCATTTTCAGTTTAAATTTGAACATGTTAGTAGTGGATGACCCAATAGCTGAGATGGTCATTCGAGGTCTCTCCAAAAATGGAGGTATAAGATCAATCCTGCCAAACTGTAGGCTCTCCATGGTAAGTCAATGGACCTTAGTTCACTCTGCTCGGTTCTCACCCCTCAACCCCCCATAATGCGCAATTAGATCGGAATGTTGTATTCTAATGGAATGGCAGATCAGAATTCATGTAGCCCATGGCACAACGTTGTAAGCACTTTCAATAAGCATTTGAAAATTTTTGACACCTGTCCCTTAATTACCCAGTATTTGTCTCAGCTATCTAGGGACTGGGATCTTGAGAGGGCTAGACTAGGTATGGCCTTAACCTTTGGCATTTTTCGCGCAAAGTAATTGCCCTCTGGTTTGAATCAGTCCAAGATTTTACCATGATTTAATGATTTATCAACACTGTCCTAATAGTTCACTAGAGCTGTAAATGGGTCGGGCTTACCTAACAAAACTGAACCTAACCAAATCAATTATACTGGGTCTGCTTCTATAAACTATAATTGGTCCGTTCTGGTTTTGCCATTTCTATCTCGGTTATAATTGTTGGGTTGGGAGAGGTTTTAGCTCTCCCAAACCGATTATAAATGTTTAATATAATAAACAATGTTTCATGGTTTTATCATAGGCACCTATATGCCTCTGTGATGATTTCTTCAATCTTCTCAAGGCTAGTTCCTAAAACTATAGCCACTTTAATTTATGAATAAATCTCAACTTGGTACCCCAAGAATCTGCTCCACAGACATAAAATTAATTCATACATTATTTGCCTTGAGAATGTAATCTGCATAAATTCATATATAACCAGCTAGAGCCAATATTATCTCTACCTGAGGAAATCAGAGCAAATGAAAACCAAATAAAGCTAAGCTACAATGCTTTTCATTTTCACTTCTGAAATTCCAAGACGGTGTAGAACTGATCAATATAGAATGCTCGGAAATGGGGAAAGCCAGAGGCTAGACCCAACTGCTTAAATTCTTCCTCAGTCCGATGTTTACCCTTGGCTCTGTAGATAGCCATGACAAAGATGTCACCTTCCAGCAGCGCTCGAGTCCTATGGCTTCTGTCTGATTCCTTCGGCAGCACTGGTTCGCAAGCAATCATCTTTCCTCCTGGAGGGAGGGCTTCATAACAGTTTCTCATTATCAACTTGCATTCATCATCCGTCCATGTTGTCAACACCCACTGTTACAAGACATGAACACATAAATCATAAGAACCTTGCTAAAGTTTGTGTTTAGGCACGGTATCGAACTTCTGTAACCCTACGCTCTTCGTGAGGATTTGACATGCACCCTCCTCTGTCCTTAGGCCTGTCAATGATGCCTGGCTCGGTTTGACATTTAAACCAATTATTCATTGAAAATACAATAAAAATGCTGAAAATAAGAGCCCATTTGGGAGGGCTTCAGCTTCCGTTGAGCTGCTAGGAAGAAGTTGCTTTAGTTAAACAACTCGTCAAAAGTTGCTACCATATGCATAAATCATGTTTGATAAAATAATAACATGTTCAATAGCTGAGCAAATCAGTAAATTGACAGAAAAACGATATTGTTGCTAATTTTGAAATGGTTTGGGTTCGTATTTTGAAATCATTTGTTGCTGCCTGTTGATTGGCAGGTATGTGTGGGGACTGTTTTTCTCTTCATACTTGTGGTTGAATGTGTGTGATAGCAATAGGGTTTGGTGCTGAACCCTATAACAGCAAGTGTTTCAGCAAAAGTTATTTAATTGTGGTGTGGTGTGTTGTGTAGTGATTAATGAGTGCTCAATAGTCCATGTGATTCTTGTAGTTGATTTTTTTTTTACCTTCAATGACTTTCCATTGATTCACAGTCGGAGAGGGTAGTGACAGTAAAATAGGTGTTATGAACTTGCTGCTAACTTTGGAGGAAATAATTTAACAGATATAATCTTGTAACAGCTCTAATGACAATGATTTGAAGTATATGAATGAGTTGCCATGTAACAATTCACTTCAGAACTCTTTAAGATAAAGATGATAGTCTATCAAAGTTATGTTTTTGTAGATTAAATATCACCTTTCTTTTCACGGTAATGAGTTGAGAAAACACCTAACATAAAAAAAAAAGATATAAATTTTGAAGAAGAAAAAGATGACGAAAAACCTTTGCTTCCTTCAATATTGATGAAACACGTCTCCAGTAACCGGAATTTCTTTAAAAAGACACATCCTTCGGTTTTCCAATGGGTGGCTTTGGAAAAAGTTGGACTTTTGTCTAGTTGCCCATGTGAGTTCTTTAATCATTTAATCAACTCAACAAAATCTGATGGTTTGAATTTTCGTCGTGGGGCTCTCACCTCACAACACTAGAACTAGAAGCCACTGCCCAAACCTCCCACACAGGCACTGAATTGAGAAATCAACTTAGGCAATGTTTGGTACCGATGAGTAATGTTTTAATAACATTTTTTTTCTTGGATTTCGAGGGAATAAGGAACCTTGGACAAAATTCCAATACCTCGAAGCTGCTGCCCGAAAGCCCTCCCAAACGAGACTGGATCTGCTCCTCAGAGAGCACACCTCACACTGACCTCACAGGCACATCTCACCAAGAACTCCTGTACTTGTGTGTTATAAATTAGAATTCATGGAAGATGTTCCCAATATATGAGGGGTGTGCCTGTGAGTGCAATTTATGAGGAACAGATCCCAATTCCTCTCAATCAGGCACTGAATTGAGAAATCAAGTGTATGGAAGCAACATTTTTTTTCTGTTTATTTCTGTTTCAAGATACATAGGTATCAACAGATCCCATAACCTAAATAATCTCTTCTCTAATGAGATGCACTTTCCCATAACCTAAATAATCTCTTCTCCTAAAATTTCTCCTAAACTATCTCCCACACTTTCTCCAAATTTATCTTTAATTCCTATTTACCTTCTAAATTATCTCTAATTCCTATTTATCTCCAAAATTATCTCTAATTCCTATTTATCCTCTCCCCTACTATTTATCTATATCTATCCAAAGAAAGTTTGGATTAAAACATTTAAGAATTATTTAAATATTCTAACATAATTATATAACAACTTTAAAATATTTATTAAAAACAAAAAATAATTTTATATTTTTACAAAATATATCACAAAATTATGTACTAACAATATAAATTATGTTTTTCTGAATTATCAATTTAAATGTTTTTCAAATATTTAATAATATGTAATAGCTATAAATAAATAAAATGAAAAGTAGAAAAATAATTATAACATAATAAATAGTTAAAATAACAGAATTACGTAATAAATTTAAAAAATTTCTTCAAAGTAGAAAAATAATTATAACATAATACTGAAATTAATAATAATTTAATATTTTACAAAACTAATAATGAAATTACGTAATAATAGTATAAATTATGATTTTATGGACAGTTAAATTCAATAAATAATTAATATTTTAAAATTTAAATATTTTACATACTATTTAAGGATTTAAATAACTAAATATTTTAAGTAATAACTAGATTTTAAATAGTTAAGAAAAGAAATTATGTAGTAAATTTAAAAATTTCTGAAAAGTAGAAAAATAATTATAACATAATATTGAAATTAATAATAATTTAATATTTCTACATAATATAGTAAATAACTAATTTCACTTATATCATGTAATAATTCGAGGAAATAACTTTCAAAAAAATTAATATTTATTAATAATTATATATACTAAAATTAATATTTATTGTATTTCAGTAATTATTTATTGTTTTTTGTGATADATGTATTTTCAATGATTATGTATAAATTTATTTTGTTTTGTTATTTAACAGAAAACTTTCAATAATTATTGGAGATAAAAATTTGGTTAGTTGAAACCGACTGACCTTTTGTGAAAACTGACCCACTCAAGTTGTTTCGGTTTGGGTCAGTTTTCACAAAAGGTCAGTTGTCTCAAAAGATTTAAACTTAAAAGTTAAATTTAATTTTAAAAATTACAATGCAATTATTAAAAAATAAATATAAAAATTAGATTTATGAAATGAAATATTTTAGACTAAGAAATATGGAAAATTTCTCACTTTTTCATATTAAAAATTATATTTAAAATATAAAATATTAATATATATCCATGGTTAGGTCGTTCGATTTTGGTTGGTTTACAAATGACAAAAGTGAAATTGATCCAAGTTGATCGAATTGGGAAATTTTTTAACCAAAACCCGACCTAAAATACTAGAAAACCAACCAACTCGGGTCGAGTTGATCGGGTTGGTCAATTTCATCAATTTGATGAATAAACCTAACTGAAATTAATTATTGTTATTTTTGTATTATAAAAAAATTATTAAAAATAGTATATAAAATATGAATAATTATTAATTATTTAAAAAGTTGAAAATATAAAACAATTGTATACTCTTATGTGATTATATTAGGGTCATTTACTAGAATACATCTTATAATTTTACATATTTCCTTAAACCTACCTTATAGTTTTTATTTTATTAAAATATCCCATATATTTTACAACTTATTTACTTGATCAACTTTTCATTAAGGAGTGTTTGTTTTTCCATTAGGCCCATGATTTTTTATTCCAAAATTACCCTTAACACTTTTTTTATACAGAAAACAAAATTAGCCAAATATAACCAATAGAGTGGTTGTCTATGTCTTATTAAGGGCAAGAATGGTATTTTTATTTCTAGTTTCTTTTGATTAAATTTATTTAAACATCAGGGTCAAGACTATCATTTTCCACTATCATCTAATGGAAGTGTTACAAATTATAAGTGGTGTTTTAGTAAAATGCTAATTATATGGTAGATTTTTGTAAATCCATGAAACTATAAGGGGTATTTTAGTAAATAACCCTTTCTATTATTTAACTTTCGCTTAATAAATCCCGTGCATCACACGGGTCCCCACTAGTTTTTTTAATAAAAAACAACTCTCACAGAAATCAAGTAAAAAAGTTGAGAGTTATATATATAAAAGCAATAAAACCTCATCTACATAAGAAGTTATAGATAAGGGTTTTTATTGTTCATTGGGTCCTCACAAAATGATGCTCACACATGGTTTTATAGTTGGAATATTTACACGCAAGGGGAATGAATCAAATTCCCAAACTTATATTTTTGGATAAATTACAGATGGATACCTTATACTTTGAGGGTAGTGACACATAGGTACCATGACCTTTCAATTGCAACACTTGAATACTCTGAACTCTAAAAAATAGACACATGGGTTCATCCATTAGTATTTCATCAATTAAACATTATATATTGCCAAAACTCCCCTTCTCGTGTATTTTTAGACTACTTTTCCCTTCTAGTGTATAAAACCCCAATTTGTACACCTTTATCCATTTTTTCATTATTTTTTTGTAATTCATCCACCGTTGCAGTAGTTGAGGCCTAAGGATGAAAAAAAAGAAGAAAAGGTTTACAAATTGGGGTTTATACACTAGAAGGACAAAATGGTTTGAAAACATTGTTTTGAAAACCGGATTGGCCCAGATGGTCGAACAGTTTGGCCCAAGAACCAATCTAGTCACTGGTTTCTGTTTTGGCCTTGAACCATTATTTTGCAAAATTCGTTGAAATGGTTAGAGAACCACTAACCCAAGCGGTTAAACCACTAAACCGTTCAACCTAGTTAGTGGTTCACGATTTAATAAAATATTTATTTATTTTTTTATTTTAAGTATCATTAACAAAGAAAAAATGTGATGTAGAGATGGGGGAGAAATGATCTCAGTCTTGAGAATGAGAGATCTCATATCAGAGAGAGAGAGAGGGGGGTTGGGGAGAAACGTTGTCGCTGCTTTCTATCGCCACCAGCCCACCACCGTTGTCACTACCACCGGTAAACATCTTCATTGAGCATCTCCTCCTTCTTCTTCTTCCTTCCTTTATTCTTTCTTTCCTTTCTTTGTTTCTTTCCCTTTCTTTTTCATTTCTTAGCCAATAGTCACCCCACTTCTCTTTTAATGAGACATACTAGCGGAGGGGGCCCTGCGTTGTAGGGGCTCGCTCATAAATTATTAGGCTCGAGCTCGATTCGAATTAGAGACTTGAGCTCAAGCTCGAGCTCGGCTTGAGTCAAAAGCTCGGAAGTTCAAACTCAGCTACATTTGATTGCAGGTCTTTCAAGAAGTCGAGGTCTCCCTTAATTGTCGAGGTGCCAAACCGAGGTCTCCCTCAGCTACTGAAGTGTTGAGCTGAGGTTTCCCCAGCAGGCAAGGTGTCGAGCTAAGGTCTGCCTTAGTTGACAAGGTGCCCAGCTAAGGTCTCCCTCAATTGTTGAGGTATTGAGCCGAGATCTCCCTCAGTGACCGAGGTGCCGAGCTGAGGTCTCTCTAAGTGGTCGAGGTGTCGTCTAGTTTGAGCTCGATTCGATTTAGAGACTTGAGCTTTAGCTCAAAACTTCATGCTCAGCTCGACTACCTTTAATTGCAGGTCCCCTAGCAGCCGAGATGAGGTCTCCCTCGGTTGGAGAGAGAGTGGCATTCTTGTAATTTATAAAGAGATGGTATTCTTATAATTTGTAAAAAAAAAAAAGAAAGAGAGAGTGGCATTCTTATAATTTGAAAGAAAAAAACAGGAGAAAGAGAAAGAGAGAGAATTGGTAGGAGAGAATGACATTTTTGTAATTTGAAAAAAAAAACAAAAGAAAAAGAATTGATGAGTGGAATTTCTATGAAAACCTCTTGACCCTTCGATAGATGGTCGAACCTGACCCAAAATCAGGTGGTTGAAACGGTTTCTTTTCTGGATCGTTTTTAAAAGCTTGTACGAAAATATAATTTTGACGTCATGTAATGTTTAACTAACAAAATACTAATGGAGGGACCAAAATGCCTATTTTTGAGAGTTCAGAGTATTGAATGCTACAATTGAAAGTTCAATACGTATCTGTCAATGACCACCTCCATTCTATGAAGCCGCGCACAGAAAAGGCAGACGGGACCATAGAAATAAAAGTAAGACTGTCGCTGCAGCCTGCACAGCCCTTTAGCGATCCTCCAATCAAAAACAAACGCATCAGCGGTGGAAATAATTTCAAATAAAGTCCTTTCCCTTTTATTTTATTTCCACAGCTGATGTAGTGATGTGTCCGAATTTCATTGGGTTGAAAGAGTATGCTGTGACGACGTGTCCTGGCTGAAGAGTTTTAAGGCTGTGTTTGGTGGTGTTTCACACTCCACCGGCCAATTAGAATTAGAGAAGATCAGAGGAGAATCAAATCAAACCAGGTCGTGAGCAGAGTGGAGTAGACTGTGGGCAGTGTGCGTACCTTCATAAAGATGGCATCGCCAGCCGGAATCGACTCGAACATATCTCCACCGACGTGTGTCACTCCTGCACAAAACCATACTCGTCACTGTCAGAAGATAAGACGCAGATGCAGAGGCTGAATTTGATAGTTTAATGAAAACAAAAAATGAATATTATATTGCTCACCGGGAATATTTGGGGCTTTTGCCACCACCTCTGGCAGATCGAAATTGATTCCTTCTCGGACATGAGGATGCTTGTGTAGTATCATCCGCAGGCAATCTCCGGCGCTTCCACCCACATCCACCAGGCGCTCCACCCCTTTGAATCCATTGTAGCCTTCCAATATCGCCTTCATAAACGGCACGGATACCCCCGACATGGCCTTCTGCATTAGTTCGTTCATCTCCGATTTATCTCCATAGTACGAGTACGCCGGTTCACCGTTCGCCTTCACGAACGGTTCCTCTTTCGGGTCCACCACCGCCTCGTGCAGGATGGGCCACGCCTTCATCAGTGCGTCCTGGTGGTGCTGCAGAACGTACGCGGCGTAGGATAGACCCTCCCCATCGGTGACCAATGTCTTTCCAATCTCGGTCAGGGAGTATTTGCGCTCCGAGGAGCCGTCGGCGATGTGCTCCGAGAAGACATCGTAGGTGGTGAGCATTCGGAGGATGCGCTGGAGGTTTTCGGGATCGCCGGTTGGGAGGGCACGTGCTAGGATCTCGGAGGCGGAGAGAGGGACGTTGGAACCACTTTGCCAGATGGCGTCGGGGACCTTGAGGCGGACGATGGCGTTGAGGGACATCGGGACGCTGATCATGTTGGCGAGCTCCAGTATGGCCAGCCTGGCGTTGTTTCGGATCTCCGTTGTCTCGTCCGCCATGGCCGTAGAACTCTGCTTCTGAGTTCTCACTTCTTTGGTTTGATAAAGAAGTGAGGGAGTGATACTATGTAACTATCGACCTCTCGTGTCTGTATACCTATCACTGATTTCCTTTTCATCCTACCCCACCGTATTCTACGGTCATCTATCTGGAAGCCCAACGTTATCAACGTTATCGGGTTAGCATAGTTTAGTTCCACCAAATCGGTTGTTTCTTCTCACGTGATTTTTTTTTTTCTTTTCTTTTTGATCTCATTGGTTTTTTCTTGCATTTATTCAAGTAAATGTCTCTTAGGTAGCCATAATTGTGGTTTCAAGGATAAATTCATAAAAGAGAAAATAACTTGTTTTTATTGGTTCATATGGAAGAATATAAATGAAAAATGTTTTGGTGGTCTTTGAAGCAAATTAAAGAAACCAATGTTGAGTAATGAATCAGTCTTGGGTAAGTCTTTGAAGCAAATTGAATGGCTCAAACCTAAACCTGATTGCATTAAAATAAACTTCTATGCTAAAATGTTCTAATAATGGAAGTTCTGCCATCGGATGCATTGCTAGGAATTGTCAGGGCAAAGTTCTTGAAACCAAGGCCTTTAGGATTGGATCAACGACAATTAACCTTGCTGAAGCGTGGGTGGCTTGGGAAGTAATAAATGTAGCGATCAACTACAAGAACCAACAGATCACCAATGGTAGAATCACTCCTTCCTGGGGATTGGAATGCGTTAGCCTTAAGGGCTCTAAGGTGTCAAGATAGTAATAGAGATTTTAGATTTTGTGATCTTAGTTTCATTTGTGATGCTGATTTGAGGGGAAGAGCTACCCCCCGTCTTGTATAGCTCATCTTTTTTCCATAAAAGAATGGTGTGGGCGGGGTGCACTTCCAATCATAAATGAATACCAAACTAAAACTTCCGTTAACTCATTTCTTTTTTTTTTTTAATTTGGTGTTGTGCATCTTATTCTTTTGAATAGAAGAATCAAATGGTCAAACTTCTCTTGCCATAGCCTTGATGAGCCCTACAGGCACCTCATGCCAAGTAAGTGCAGCATCTTACCAATTAGACAATTCGAGCTAGTTACAAGCAATTCGTCACCTACAGGCATCTTGCCACTTACAAGCAACTCATCACCTACGGGCAACTCGCCACTTACAGACAGCTCGCCACTTATAGGCAGCTCGCCACTTACAGGCAGCTCGGCATAGGCAGCTCGCCACAGGCAACTGGCCACTCTACAGACAGCCTGTCGTCTTACGGACAGCTCGCCTCCTAATACGCTTCAAAGACATGCTTTGGGTAGAAGCACCTCGGCATATTAGCAATAGCACAGTACCAGGTAGCTCGGTGTATCGCCCGACAACCATACTTGCCAGATCTGGAGACTGCTCCCATGACTCTGGCCAGGTGCGTCGTGCTTGCAAGTCCCTAACAAGCGTCCCTTGTCTGTTAGGGTTGTACCTTGCAACGATTACCTGTGCCCACCAACTCAGCCCTGGCAAATAACGGCTATGGCAGAGAATCAGAGGCGGTTACGCCAGATCTGTCAGGACACCGCTATATAAGAGCTCCGACCCCCCAGAGGGGAGAGTGAGGAAAAATGGAAGTAACCCCTGCTCTCTAGCTCTCTCATTTCTCTAATATCATCTTCAAGCTCTCTACTATCAAAGTGCTAACTTAGCCATCGGAATGGCCCCGCCGGGTAAATACCCTCGGGTCCTCAGATTCAGTTCTCGCAAGTTCCTCGGCTCCCGCCGCCTACAAAGAGGAGCAGATCATCTCATGCAAAGGGCAGTCGGGTTGCACTACACTAGGGAGCTCACCACCAAGGCAACACACTCAGCAGCTCATCAAGGTGGCTCACTACCAGGGAGCTCGCCAAGTAGCTCACCACTAGGGAGTTCGCCAACAAGTAGCTCACCACCAAGCAGTTCGCCACCAGGGAGCTCCATCATCCTCTGAGTCATAGGCCACCTGAGAGCAGGTCAAAGGACGAGGTACTTAGCCAAAAGATTGATACATCACGAAAAAAATTGGTACGTGGCCAGGCCGTCTGTGGGAATATGCTACAAAAAGCTAAGTTCTCATCCTACAAAAAGCTAAGTCCTCACTTTTTACAAACTAGAGCTCTCACTTTATAGTTTCCATTTTTTATGAACTCAAAGACTATGCAGAGAGCTAACAGACTAAGCAGCTCTACCAACTTTACTTTCAATTCAGATAAAACCTCGTTAGTCCTCTTCATGAGGTCCCCCTTACAAAGATGAGCTCTTTACGGCTTTCGTGGGAGTTGGCGGCCAATAAACTACATGTGCGTCCTTGCTGGTCGAGCCTTCCAAGGCTCCTGCGTGAACTGGTGACCTAAAGTTAATAGTGTTGCCCCCAAAGGTCGAGCTCCTAGTAGCTTCTTGTAGGAGTGGGTGATCGGCATTACAAGGCTGATGCAGCGCAATCATAGCTCTAAGGCACCCACCTGGTCAGCTTGGCACCTCACAGGTAGCTCGGCACTTGGTCAGTCCAACACCTCACAGGCAGCTCAACACCTGGTCAACTCGACATCTCACAGGTAGCTCGACACCCGGTCAGCCCGACACCTCACAGGCAGCTCGACACCTGGTCAGCTCGGCACCTCACAAGTAGCTCGGCACTCGGTCAGCCCGACACCTCACAGGCAGCTTGACACCTGGTCAGCTTGGCACCTGGTCAGCTCGGCACCTCCCAGGCAGCTCGGCACCCGGTCAGCCCGACACCTCACAGGTAGCTCGGCACCTGGTCAGCTTGGCACCTCACAGGCAGAGACCTCGGCACCACATAAGTCCCAGTCGCCTCTTCGGCATGGGCAAAGTCCAGAAGAGTGGACTACGAGTCACTCCCAAAGCCTACAGGCCACATTACTGCTTAAGACCCAGTTGCCTCTTCAACATTGGCAAAGTCAAGAAGAGTGGACTACGAGTCGCTCCCAAAGCCTACGGGCCACATTACTGCTTAAAACGTAGTCGCCTCTTCAGCATGGGCAAAGTCAAGAAGAGTGGACTACGAGCCGCTCCCAAAGCTTATGAGCCACATTACTACTTAAGACCCAGTCGCCTCTTCGGCATGAGCAAAGTCAAGAAGAGTGGACTACGAGTTGCTCCCAAAGCCTACGGGCCACATTACTGCTTAAGACCCAGTCGCTTCTTCAGCATGGGCAAAATCAGCAAAAGTGGACTATAAGTTGCCCCTAGAGCCTAAGGGCTACAGTACAGAACTGGCGAAGACCACCTCACCTTACAGGCAGCAGGCAGCTCGCCACTTACAAGCAGCACCCAGAGCCTAAGAAAATAGATTAGCGCTTACAAACTCGTCGACTTACGGACCAAAAGGAGAAATATATTCCCTTTGCCGAGTTACTCTCATCTCGGGAGTGGGGGGCAAATGATGAGGGCGGATTTGGCCCTCTAGTGAAATTATGACACCTGACACCTCATGCCAACTAAGTGCAGCCTCTTGCCAACTAGACAGCTCGAGCTAGCTACAAACAACTCAACACCTACAGGCAGCTTGCCACTTACAGGCAGTTCGCACATACAGGCAGCTCGTCACCTACGGGCAACTCGCCACTTACAGACAGCCCGCCACTTATAGGCAGCTCACCACTTACAGGCAGCTCGACATAGGCCGTTTGCCACTTACAAGCAGCTCGGCATAGGCTGTTGACCACTCCACAGACAACCTGCCGTCTTACGGACAACTCGCCTCCTAGTACGCCTCAAAGACTTGCCTCGGGTAGAAGCACCTCGGCATATTAGCAGTAGCACAGTACCAGGTAGCTCGGTGTATCGCCCGACAACCATACCTGCCAGATCTGGAGAATGCTCCCGCGACTCTGGCCAGGCGGCATCGTGTTTGCCAGTCCCTGACAAGCGTCCCTTGTCTAGTAGGGTCGTACCCTGCAACGGTTACCTGCACCCACCAGCTCAGCCCTAGCAAATAACAACTGTGACAGAGAATCAGAGGCGGTTACGCCAGATCTGTCAGGACACCGCTATATAAGAGCTCCGACCCCCCAAAGGGGAGAGGGAGGAAAAATGGAGGTAACCCCTGCTCTCTAGCTCTCTCATTTCTCTAATATCATCTTCAAGCTCTCTACTATCAGAGTGCTAACTTAGCCATCGGAGTGGCCCCGCCGGGTAAATACCCTCGGGTCCTCTGATTCAGTTCTCGCAAGTTCCTCGGCTCCCGTCGCCTACAAAGAGGAGCAGATCATCTCATGCAAAGGGCAGTCGGGTTGCACTACACCAGGGAGCTCACCACCAAGGCAGCGCACTCAACGGCTTATCAAGGTGGTTCACTACCAAGGAGCTCGCCAAGTAGCTCACCACCAGGGAGTTTGCCACCAAGTAGCTCATGACCAGGGAGTTCGCTACCAAGTAGTTCACCACCAGGCAGTTCACAACCACGGAGCTCCATCATCCTCTGAGTCACAGACCACTTGGGAGCAGGTCAAAGGATGAGGTACTTAGCCAAAAGATTGATACATCACGAAAAAAATTAGTACGTGACCAGAAAGGGTTACACCAAATACCAAAGTAAAACTTCCGTTAACTGATTTTTTTTTTAAACTTAAAAAGAAGTTAAATAGAGGACACCTAAGGTTTTTTTTTTTTTTTGGTATTTGGTGTTGGGCACCAACTAGTGCAAAAACGACAAGAAAAGAATTGCTACAACTATAATCAAGGAGTAGAATGGCCAAATTCTCCACCTACTAGCAGTATAAGAAATACAATGAAGAAAATAATTCGATTGTAAGATTTCAAATGTTTCAGAATGTGCTCTGCAACTGATAGTTGAGAATCAAAAGGCTATTGCTGAGATGTTGGATTTGGTTCTATATCAACACCATACCCATGATAATGAAGGATTTGGTTCTAATTTTACTTTCCCCTTGGTGTTGATAACCCTGTAAAGAGGTATGCAGTCCTTGATGTTTGCTTGAAGGAAAGATGATACAATCATCGTCATATATATGGAATCTATCGAAGCACCACCATTTCCCATCCTACCGAGTAGACCTGAACTTTAGTTCTGTATTCTAAGAGAACCTACGTTTCATTGTAAAACAAAGAAGAAGGGAAGAATGGGGAAGTCACTATCGTAATTATTCCTAGTCCTTCAAACATCGGGAGATCTCACCCCGGCCCTCGTCCTCCATGTCTGAGA